AAATAAAAAAACAGCACAAATTGTACACGCGTAACCACAGTGCAAACACATCTACCTCAGTTGAGGTTATGGCAATCAAATTGAGGTTTTTTAATATCGCGTGGATTCATCGGTGTGACTGGACGAACTAAGTAGTACACTGAGCACAAAGAAGCACTTACGTGTTCACTGAAAACAAACCACTGAAGAATGAGAATCAACTGGCATTATTCTAACCAAGTCAACACGAATTTCCCAGTCTCATTACGAGTTGAATAAATTCCACAAACAGACAAATACAGTGTGCAGTTATGTGCTGAATGAAATGAGCAATCTATTACAATTACAAATATCCGTTATCGATGCATTCCAATTGAACCGATATCTCACTTTGAGACCTCAACACTTGTCCTATAAAATCACTCACTACGAAGTGTTTAAACATGTCACTTACACATTGACTCGCAAATTACCATGACATTAATAAACATAGAGAGGAAAATGTAGACAACGTACATGAATAGAAGTAGTTTAGTGAATGAGAGAACGACCAAGTATGTCCACACACGTCCGATGATTTGTTGACAGAAAACAACTTGACCTATTTTATTCTTCTGTTATACACAATTACATTGGACATAGTGGACGACCAATCAATGAACTTATATGTATCATCCATCTCAGACAGATTCTGTCAATACAGCCACATTCAAAGTGTGACCTAGTACAGATAAACCAATCAGAGTGTGATGATGAGAATTCAAGGTAATTTACTTTTCTGTTGCTGTTATTGTTATTATTATTGTTGAATTGTGGTTATTGTGTGTTTTAGTTATTTGTAAAGCTTGTCGACCAGTGATTTTCGTGATCAATATGTTTAGCAAACATTGGTTATTGGTCTCGTGTAGAATGTTAGGCGGTGGTGTTTATCAATCGAAAGTGACAGTGTAAGAGCAGATTGAATTTAGTTGAATTGGCCATCTACGTAATCAGAGATTGTATGCATGTAACAAGTGTGATGTTTGTGTGTACATGGAGATGAATAATTTCATTTTGAAACGAAATGCTGTTAAATAGGTGAATTCATGCAAGCGTTCATGTGTCGAATGTATTTTGATAAATTTGAGTGAATCGATGAGGAGTTGATTTTGAAACGGAGGATATCAACTATTTTTGGTCTGTGCCATTGAATATTGTGTACAAGATATGAGTGTAGTTATCGAATTTTCTTCCACTCGACAATTTAAAGTAAATTGTGCATTGGAGATTGTTATTGGTAAACTAATGATAGATTTGTGATAATTGAATGAGTAGAAATTAGAGTTTGTGACTATTCCCGAATAATTTTGAAAGTCTCTTCTTCACAGTGGTGGTTGGTGACAGTCGATAAAACGCCTAGTTGGTCTAGGTTTCATGCTATTTGGAGAGAAAGTGGTTACGTTCAATGAGTAGTGGTTGTTTGATGTAGACAAACATGTGTGTGATGACATGGATTGATTTCAAAACTGAATGAATAGCACTGGTATTTGCGTGCGATGATTTTGTGTGGTGAATTTTGTAATCTAGTCACTGAAGAAGATACAAGAAGAATGGTTGTTGTTTGTATTTGATCCGGTTTTTGAATACTGTCGAGAAAATAAACAGTAATGATAGAATAGTTTCTTGCACAGCAATTCGGTATTGATGAGTGATCAATATCGGGACTAGAAATTTCACAGTTGCAAATGAGTCTTGTAAATTTAGGTGTCGCTTGATCACCAAGACAAACAGCTCAACAAACGTTATCATGTATTTGACTTCATGATTAAAGACATTCGTGTTTACTGTCGTTCATGTGCATGACTGACCCGTTAAATGGTTGAGTGTCGCATTTACTTACAACTTCCAATCCCGGTCGCGTGACTTCACCGTCAGAATTGTCGAACCTACGTTGTTCAGTCAACAATTGGCTATTTATATACTCAAATCACCCAGTGAGTAGAAATTGATATCGTGCAACCTTCTAGCTCATAATACTGATTGGGTGCTCTCGATCATGCTCTGAATCGAATATTCTCTGTTATGCATCTCAACTACTCGATAAGAGTTCGTCGTTGAACTGATTCACTTATATCACTCGATTCGTTTTCACATTAAATTACATTCAGATATTACCTTGGTGTATTCTTCGTTCAAACCACAGCGTATAGGTAAAATGCATCTTCACTAATGTTATTACAAGTGAGTAATTAATGATCTCCACAATTATTGTTCACAAGATTGTTCTAACCCCGAATATTTAAATGAACTTCACGTGATGATATTTTCGAACGAGTTGTCAATTGTGAATCGTAGCAGTTGAATCGGATTTCTATGTCTCTCACAATTCAGTCATTTTACAAATGCAGAATTTTCATTGATTTAGTACAATTATATTGATCAATGATATGAATATTTCACTTGAAGTATGTGACCTTGACTGATTGTTTGTTTTTTCACTTTGTGGCTTATTTTAACAATAGACTAATGATGGAACTAAATAAATTGGATTCATCAATAATGTGTTGTAGACGAGAAATATTCACAGATATTTTATTCTGAGTTAGTAAACTGTCAAGGTATTTCTATATCATTAACATATTTGTGTATGTTGATTGAAGTTAACTATCGTGTTCCACTATCACCAAATTACGCTTTCATCTCTCATTTCACGTTGACTGAATACTTAATGTGTGTTCTTCAAGTACTCATCATCACTTGATGCAACAACTATTCAATACAAACCTGAATACGATCATTGGAACAACTGATGAATACAGTGCTTATCCATACTCAAATTGAATAATCTTGTGTGTTCCCTTAATAGTTGAGATCATGAGTCAATCGAAGCTAGATCACCATGGAAAACCTGGGAGCACTTGACGGCCGTTTCGTCCTGCTGTGGGACTCCTCAGCAGTGCGCATGTACGATCCCAGCCCGCGAGGTTCGAACCCAGAGCCTATCAGTCTCGCGCATGATCGCTTAGCATCTAGATCACTGAGCCTTCCAAGTTTTCCATGGTGGTCTAGCTTCAACTGACTCATGATTTCAACTATTAAGTTTACTATAATATCCACAAGAAGCCCTTGTGATATTAATCTTGTGTGTGTTTTGATCTTGTAACTATAAGACATGTCGTCAGTCACTAACAATCAAATGGAATTCGTGAGACGATTCGGAACAGTTAGGGAATATGGAAGTATGGGAGTTCGTTTCTCGAGTCTCGTTCAACTATTCATCTGTTCGTTGTTTCGATTTCAGGTTTAGAAAATTCATTGGATATTGCCACACAATCATATCGAGTTTTCTTGTGAGCAACAGAATACAGTGGGAATCAACATGATTCCGATGCTCCGATTCTGATCGAACAGAGTAGAAATGGCTTCCACAAGTGACTCGACTCACCGAATTGTTATAACGAAACAACACTAGTGTGAGTGAGGTGAGGAGACACAATGTGGAAATGGTCTGACAGCTCTTGCAAATTGTTCGCACCCACATTTCGACGATCTATGGATGATTAAATACGAGTTATTAGTACCATGGTTCACAAACTAGATCTTCTTACACGGTCAGTTGGATTTCTCTATGGAATTGAATTGAATTGATCAAATGTTGAGTATGTGTATTGGTGACTGAGTGAACATGTGTATTTGGTGTGAAGTTTGACAACGTGATGTGATGTGTTGTCGGTGGAAGGAATGGACAATTTGAGTGGTTAGGTTGATTGGAGAAAACATTATTTTGGTGGATAACTAGCCGACAATCAGTCACGTCAGCTCAGTGAATCGTAGATTAGATTATATATCTTGTTTACGTTCATGTTATCAATAAATTTGTCATACTTTAACATAATTTCAGAGACGTCATGAATTGTAGTTTCAATGTTTGCACATGCCAAATAGCATCCATTCTAACTAATGGGCACTTTTCACTGAATACATTGTTTAGATAAACAGAATTGCGCTAAATTATCCAAAAGTACTAGAATGACACTTTCCAGTTTACAAGTCATTCTGATCCTACTACATTTTATAATAGATGATTTACCAAAATGCTTGATATTCACGATCATCAAAACATTGTAGATGAGTTTTAAACTCGACAAATCCTTCAATGATATCTAAGACTGGTATGGGATTCCTCAGAAGTGTGCATCAACGTCCCTGGCAATCGGTAACCGAACACAGGACTTTCGGTCTTACTCTCAGACCTCTAGACCACTGAGCCGGCACCCAATAGTGTACAAGGAATCATCTTATTCGTAGGTTTCACGGTGTTATTTACTTGTAGTGAATTCATGATAGAGATGTTTTGTGAGCTCAATTGCAGTAGTTACCGATTTGTTAAGTATAAAAATTTAACTTATTATTGAAATCACAAAAACATTTACTAGTACGTGTAATTAAGCTTATATTACTTTAGTCACAGTTAGTTTCATTCTGACTATCCACTGATGGGATTATGTGTGCAGCATTTCAACATATATTTGAAAATCTCAGTTCTAAATTTGAACATGCATAGAAAAAAATTTACAATGCACTAGTTATTCTATGTGTTCGACCTGCTTACAAAATTAAAGTAAAGCTTAGGAAGTAGCATAGAACATAATGGTTCCCTTTTTGCTTGTTGATAAACGGTTGCTAAAATTAAACACAGCTATCCACTTTCATTTTACACTGTCGTTTGTCGCAATTATTTTTTTTATGTTATCATTTCAGGAAGGCTTTCTCTTTCCAGATATACAGACTCGCTGAAGGTCATTAATACCTCACGAGTTGAGGTTTGTAAGAAATTTATGTTTATTTCTCAATAAGGAACCGTTATTTAGACAAGCCGTTGTTTCACGAACTTCGGTTTCATGCGTATCTCAATCGAGTTATTAGACTTTTTAATAGAATTAAAAAGTTATGATACTTTCATTATTATTAATATACAGCAAATATATTTTCGTTTAAGTACAATTGACATTACATTACTTGAAATGTGGAAATAGAAAATCTTAATCTTTCTGTTCTATAAAACATAGTACATCATAATGTTTCACTTTGTTTTCTTTACCCTTGTAAGGAAGAAGTGCAAATTTTTGTGAACAGTTAAGTTTACCAATACACAATTCATCTTGTACCATAGCACGAGCAATATATAAAGGTTCACTTGTGTTAGTTATACCAGCAAGTAATGCACCAGCTGGAACTCTACCGAAAGATGCTGGAACCCACTGATATCTTATACAATTAAGAAAATAAGAAAAATATGAGGGGATTAGTTGAAATAAACATTTTATTGATATGTAGTTTAAAACAAATTATAAAATATATAAACAATGTCTCTTATAAGTTAGACATACTGAATAGATTATCTGTTGTATTACATTGCAAGAAAACGATAATTTTAAATTCCACACTAATATGTGGACTTAAGTTTATATTCTTAAATTAAGTAGTTTATATAATTATAGACAGTTTTTTTCACTAACTAAATTTCTCGAATTGTCTGGATTGGGAAATATAAACTACTGAATTTTAGGTTGATAGACTAGATTTATCACAATGCCTATAGTTTGTGAGTTCATTTTCTCATGACATTGTAAGTGTGCACTGGAATGATGATCTAAACTACAAAGAAAAAAACATATTTAGTGTAATTTCAATGGTTAAGATCATGAGTCAGTTGAAGCTAGACCACCATGGAAAGCCTGGAAGCACTGGAAGGCCGTTTCCTACTATTGTGGGACTCCACAGCAGTGCGCATCCACGACCTCGCCTCCTGCGAGATTCGAACCCATGATCTACTGGTTTCGCACGCGAGCACTTAAACACTAGATCACTGAGCTGGCCGGCATCCAACGGTGTTAATGTCTAACTTCAACTAATCCACGAAATTGAGCGACACATCTACCTTTGTCATCAGTGAGTTACTACCTCACAACTGACCCGGTTGAACTCCACTGTTCAGTACTTCTCACTAGAACTCCAGGATATATCTCGTGAAGCCAGTCACTAGTGAGCATATGTTGATTAATATCAGATGGGTTTTTTGTGGAGATTGTAGTAATTTCAATGGTTAAGATCATGAGTCAATTGAAGCTAGACCACTATGGATAACCTGGAAGTACTGGACGGCCGTTTCGTCCTATTGTGGGACTCCTCAGTAGTGTGCATCCACACCGTTGGGTGACGGCTCAGTGGACTAGTGGTTAAGTGCTCGCGTGCGAAACCAGTAGTCCTGGGTTCGAATCTCGCAGGGGGCGAGGTCGTGGTAGTTGTTAGTTTATCAGTTAATGATTCATATATACATGGGGTTTTTATTTATTTATTGTTCAACTATTATACGAAAACTAATGTTTCTAAAAACCTAATTTAACTGGGTGTCAATTATAAAGTGGTTTAGTGAAATTAATCTCTATGGTAGCAACAGTAACGTTCATTTTTAAGTAGATGATAAGTTGTAACGTCTGCTTAGGTTATTACTTATTCATCTGTTCCGGGATTTTTATAACATAAATTATTGAAAATTACAAAGAGTTCTGAATAGGTATTGTATTCTATTATATCCTAGAGAAGATTAAATTAACTCAGAACTATTTATGGTCTAATATTATACATATATTCTTATTGTATAACTGTTAAGAAACTAAACTATATATATGTTTATATTCCTGTTATTATAAGCTTTTATTTGACATAATGGTTAATGTTCTATGTTTTACTACTCTTAATTTATTAGTCTTAGTCTCTCACAAACACAGCCACTTTTTGGATTGATCTTCTACAAATGTTATTTTCTATTTTATGGTATGATGTGGTCTGATTTTGCATGTATATAAACCAAGTGTGTTTGAAATATATGATTAGATATAACGAAGGCTGATATTTGTGTTAGGGATTGAATCGGATGGATTAGACAAGAAGTTACTATCTCAAGGACCAATACGAACTCTAGGCTTCTCGTACTGGTTTATACGTCACTGATCCGGTCAATAAGTTGGTGACTCTAATTGGTGATATGTTAACAGGGCACAAGGATCACAGGTTATAACATATTCACTTGAGACTCATTATCGATTTCTAAACACTATATCAAGTTAATCGAAGTTAAGAATATCAAAATCGGCTTCGAACACCATATACGGCATTCATCTGCTGATTTGAGATCCAGTATTCCATACATTATAAGCGAAGTTCTGTATCAGTTGGTCACTATGAAATTTTGAAAATTATCAATAAAATATTTGGTTCTGTCTGTCGGTCATTGGATAATGTATTAAGATTTCACTTATTATCAATGTACGATACAACTTCACAATTGAATTTAAATGAATTCACTGAATTATATTTGTTCATTCATATAATCCATGTATTTACATACACTCTCGGTTGAAATTCGAATGACCATACAGGATATCTTTTTTGAATCATCCATGAATATATATATCTGACACTACTGGGGATACTATCAATAATATTGGCTACACATATGTACAATCATTCAATTCGATTACATGGTTATCATAAAAAAAAACTACACACAACTTGTACAAGTATATATGACGGAGAAAGTACAACAGTGTATTACACATAGACATCAAATGAATTTGTAAAAAACATGCATCTTACCAATCATACCTGAAATCATGGCCAATAAACTATGATCTAAATCTATGACAAGCCTAAACCTTATTAACTTTATCATCACATAGTTAATATCAAAACAGTCTAGAAAACCAAGTTACATTAGCTGTGACTCATGTCGACTTATGATTGCTATAAACTCCGAAAGTTGCTCGAATTCCATTAAATCGATCCTCATATTTTATAGAAGTACAAATACATAAGTGCATAAGTTTTCGTAATAGACTTATCAATATAAAGAATAAATTAAAAGAACACTTAATCTTACAGTATGTCCAGTATATTTAAGTCACTTTTTATTGTCCTGATTAACTCAACGATGTCTTCAGCATCGTCAGAGTTGTATAGACCAGAATAATAATAGTGGATTGAAGCTTTGCGCGTCATAAATCCACTCACAATTCACAAGTTTTGACAATGAGGTAATTTAGATTCTTTTGTTTTGTGGTCGTTTGAGTCTTAAACTGATGTGCAAGCTTCTTATATGCGAGTCCAGCCAGCTTCTTGAGTGATAAAATCAAAAGTCATCAGGAAGTTTTATCGGTTAAACAGATTCAAGCATATATGAGCAATTCACCCATAAATCCAGACACTAATTTTAACCAATAGTGTGTTTATGTCCTCGGAAGGTTTAGCTGGATTCTCATTAAGAGCCTGAACTAATCAGCATCTCTCACTTACTACTTGGTCTTTGTCTACTCGGCCGAGTGTTTGAAACTCATTATTCGCATGTTCTGGTTGACAAATTATCCATATTTAATTGGCAAACACGTCATATGATTATTTATGGAAAACATAATAAATTTAAGCTTTTCATCTTACTTACAAAGTTTGATTTGAAAGTACGTTCGTGGTGCACAAAATTTCAAATTCAGAAAGTGGAATTTCTTTTCCTTCGTAAAGTATAGAAGCTGTACCAGTTCTGAGAAGCATTTTACCTGGTATTAAATGTTCACCCTTTTTGCCACGAATCACACAAATGCCAGAATCTGCTTGGAGTGCATTTGGCGGTGGAGGTGATCCACTGGTAGAAGGTAACCAAGACAGATGAGCTTCTTTGGCATTATGTACAATATTCATTCTAAAACCGAATAAATAATTATGATGCCTAATAACATCATGTTAAATTCACAGAACTGGATACACATTTTGAAATATAGTATTCGGCAGTGCATATGATTATCGAATTCATTACTACAATCCTGTTGGTTAATTTGCGCTAAGTTGTGTGATTGATTCGAGTGCCTCATATGTGACTCCGTATAATATCTCTTTATTCTGTTGCGTATCCATCTGTTTGGTTATCTATCAGTCTCTTAACCATATTTCAGTATTATACTGATCTACAAATATTTAAGGCACATTGACTAATTCACACTTTGGACAGTTTGAATTAATTTCAATACAACGCAAATTAAACTAGTCTAATGCAATCCTGAAATTATTTCACTATAATATAACTGGTGGGTATTCTGTTGCCGGTATTATTTCCATTCTAATACGATTGCTGGTGATTCTAGTGTAAGTGTCGACGTAAATCCAATTCAATTACAATTAGGTTTAATTCTGGGTTCATTCTAAAAAGAGTGCATATCAATAGGGGAGAGGATTGATAAAGGCGAGGATCAAAGAGGGAATAACATTTTCAAGGGTTTGATACTTGATTTGTTTACTGTCTGTCCCTTCACCTAGACGGCCAATCAAAAAATATAATTATTTAAACGATCAGTGAAGAGTCTACTTTCAATAAGCACTGTAATTCGTCGGATTCAGCAACAATTCATCATTTTTATTAGTCCAGTCATGTTATCTCATACATCTATTTCGAACAGTGTATTTGAAAATCTAGTTTGCTTGCATCACAATTAATATGGTTCTACAATAATGAGGTTTAGACAGTGTATCTTTTCCTTTACTGTTGAATATCAATTTTATCTGATATTCATAATCTACTCATGTTATTCAATTGACTATCTGTGTAAGTGAATACGAATTATCTGACAGTACATGCTATTCCAGACTAAAAGTGACGATTTGTTAAGAATAAACCATAATATTGTGATTGTTGTATTTTTATACGGTAGGTCAATTGTCTTTCCAGTGATCTTGATTTCTCATCATAGCATTTAATAGTGATTTCAATGGTTGAGATCATCAGTCAATCGAATCTAAACCACCATGAAAAACCCGGAAGCACTGGATGACCGTTTCGTCCTATTTAATAGTCAATTCAATGTAAGTAAAGATCAAAAGATCTTACAGAAACTCTATGAATATTTGCAAAATCATTTATCACCACTGTTCTGTTCTTAATAAAAACACTTATATATTAACATCTGGTAACTTTCCTAATTATGAATGAAAATATGAATATCATATCAAACATATGATTAGTGTAATTCGAATAGTCTACACTGTCATATGAATAGATATCCTTATTCTGGTATTAATCCAAAACTGTTATTACTTCATTTGAGCTACATTCATTCAATCCTATTATAATTTGTTGATTACTACTATACATGCCAATTTATTAAATCGCTTAAATCTATACTCAGGGAAGTTTGTATTCGAGGTCTTATTTAATTCAATCATTCTACGCCATCCAGTTAAAGATAACATACATAACAATAATCTATATTACAAATACACTTTAAGTTGTTTGACTTTTTAGATGTTTTAATGGTTAAAAATAACCCAATTCTGTTTTGTCTTGTGGTCTGTTAATTAACACATGATAAGATCGCCAATCAGAACACAACTTATACAATCTTAGCACTGTACCAAACCAATGACGTATCGATCGGCACGAGAAGCCTAGAATCCTTATTGGCCCTTCTTGCCTATGCCCTGTCTATTCGGTTCAGAACACCGATATCAGCTTCCACTATATGAATCATATATTTCAGACATGGTTTATGCAAGCAAACCAGATCGCATCATACCATAAAATAGAAAATAAGGATTCATTCATTTCTTCAAATCTAGTAGAACTACTTTACACGTTTCTGATGCAGACCTAGTCTCACTTTACACTTACGAACAATGATGGCCTATTTTTGTGTTGACCAAACAACTTTATTATCTGCAAAAAGACTTAGATGATTATCCGTATCATCGAAATTAAAACTAATAATTTCCCATTGATAACCCAACAATCTATTTTCGTCCTAAGCACCAGTGTCAGCTGAATCATGGTCACTTTTGAGATTGATCAAATGAGGTTAAACATAAACCACATTTAGGTCTTTATTCAGGCTGTCGGGTGCTTCCAGATTTTCAGTGATTGTCTTTGATCAGTTCGTGATTTCGAAGGAAATCAACAATCTACACAACCAAATATGAACATATTAACTTTGTTGAAATTAAGTGTTTACGAAATCGAGTGGACGGAAAGCGAATTCCAGCGCTTTAACCGGCTTGGTGGAAACGGAAAGTCCACCTAGAAGAGTTGGAAAACCCTGACTCCAAACCAATGGTTCACACCGGTTCCAGGATCCTGAAGGAACAAATGACGCATGAACCAGTCGTTGGTTACCGGCTACCATGGGACTGCATCTCCTAATGTTGCTCCACTGCCTTGTGGGTCATATCTTTATGTTGAAGGCTCCGGGTATAGCCTCATAAGAAAACCACCTGCTTTGCTCCGGGCATCTGGGCAGTATCACAGCCCACACATAAATCAAGTGACTTGTGTGGCGCATATGTAATCGGTGCTCCTTTGCACCAATATTTGTGTTCAAATAAATAATAAATGAATAAAGTGAAAGAGGATTTTCGCAACGGTTTATGCGTTACACTACAGCTGTAATATGCTTATAACTAAACAAGGCCTGTTATTGGTCAAACTTGTTAACCAATAAGAGGTGTTACATACGTTCCGATTAAAAGCTGCAAGATTGAAAGATAACCAATCTGTCTATCCTAAATTCTCTGACTGTATAGGCAAATCAATTGGACTTGAGTTTTGTAAATGGACTCATCATGAGATTCATGGAGAATATACGCTGTCTGAAGGCAAACAATCACGAACAAATCGATTATATATATTCACAGTATCGGAGTTCCTAATCTATCCAGAACTCATGGTGACGCAAGTGGGTCTTAAACGCCTCGTGAATCCATTGGCGTAAGTGAACGAACAGATTCACATAACGATTCCGTTCCTGCAGTAAACTAGTCACAATAAACAAAACAGTGAAGAATGAGAATCAACTGGCATTATTCTAACCAAGTCAACACGAATTTCCCAGTCTCATTACGAGTTGAATAAATTCCACAAACAGACAAATACAGTGTGTAGTTATGTGCTGAATGAAATGAGCAATCTATTACAATTACAAATATCCGTTATCGATGCATTCCAATTGAACCGATATCTCACTTTGAGACCTCAACACTTGTCCTATAAAATCACTCACTACGAAGTGTTTAAACATGTCACTTACACATTGACTCGCAAATTACCATGACATTAATAAACATAGAGAGGAAAATGTAGACAACGTACATGAATAGAAGTAGTTTAGTGAATGAGAGAACGACCAAGTATGTCCACACACGTCCGATGATTTGTTGACAGAAAACAACTTGACCTATTTTATTCTTCTGTTATACACAATTACATTGGACATAGTGGACGACCAATCAATGAACTTATATGTATCATCCATCTCAGACAGATTCTGTCAATACAGCCACATTCAAAGTGTGACCTAGTACAGATAAACCAATCAGAGTGTGATGATGAGAATTCAAGGTAATTTACTTTTCTGTTGCTGTTATTGTTATTATTATTGTTGAATTGTGGTTATTGTGTGTTTTAGTTATTTGTAAAGCTTGTCGACCAGTGATTTTCGTGATCAATATGTTTAGCAAACATTGGTTATTGGTCTCGTGTAGAATGTTAGGCGGTGGTGTTTATCAATCGAAAGTGACAGTGTAAGAGCAGATTGAATTTAGTTGAATTGGCCATCTACGTAATCAGAGATTGTATGCATGTAACAAGTGTGATGTTTGTGTGTACATGGAGATGAATAATTTCATTTTGAAACGAAATGCTGTTAAATAGGTGAATTCATGCAAGCGTTCATGTGTCGAATGTATTTTGATAAATTTGAGTGAATCGATGAGGAGTTGATTTTGAAACGGAGGATATCAACTATTTTTGGTCTGTGCCATTGAATATTGTGTACAAGATATGAGTGTAGTTATCGAATTTTCTTCCACTCGACAATTTAAAGTAAATTGTGCATTGGAGATTGTTATTGGTAAACTAATGATAGATTTGTGATAATTGAATGAGTAGAAATTAGAGTTTGTGACTATTCCCGAATAATTTTGAAAGTCTCTCCTTCACAGAGTAGATCAATAACCGAATTGAATGAAGATAATTCTGAAAGGCGATTATGCGTTAGTCTAAATGTTGAGGTGAAGCATGGCGAAATCTAAATCAGAATAGGTCTGATTTTATCGAAATTATGCCATTTAAGTCAAAATGGTTCTGCGTGAGACAACATCATGAGTACTTGTGTGCCTAATAGTGATTGTGAGTGTGAAGTATGTGAATTTTATAATATGAAGAAATCCTATTGTTTTCTCACACCGTGAACACATAAACGTATTCAATTTCACATCTACTCCACATTACAAATATCACACATGGTACACTCACTAGCATACACACAAATACTCATTAAATATTCTATTTTGTTCCCCTTCACCATTTAGATCAACACAGAATCTCTAATTCAAAATTGTCTCCATTCAATTCGGTTATTGATCTACTCTGTGAAGAAGAGACTTTCAAAATTAGTCGTGAATGGTCACGAATTCTAATATCACATTATTTTATGACTATACGATGAAGGAATTTCCTATTAACTATCTACTCTGATACTGATCGTTTAATTATTCACTGTATCGGTTAGGTCTGACTGAGAGTGTAGCATTCGTTGTGCACTTTCATTACTCTTCGTCTTTTATCCCTTTCCTGTGAGAAGAGATCCTGCAACTAGATCGTGAATCGTAGCAGTTGAATCGGATTTCTATGTCTCTCACAATTCAGTCATTTTACAAATGCAGAATTTTCATCGATTTAGTACAATTATATTGATCAATGATATGAATATTTCACTTGAAGTATGTGACCTTGACTGATTGTTTGTTTTTTCACTTTGTGGCTTATTTTAACAATAGACTAATGATGGAACTAAATAAATTGGATTCATCAATAATGTGTTGTAGACGAGAAATATTCACAGATATTTTATTCTGAGTTAGTAAACTGTCAAGGTATTTCTATATCATTAACATATTTGTGTATGTTGATTGAAGTTAACTATCGTGTTCCACTATCACCAAATTACGCTTTCATCTCTCATTTCACGTTGACTGAATACTTAATGTGTGTTCTTCAAGTACTCATCATCACTTGATGCAACAACTATTCAATCCAAACCTCAACATGATCATTGGAACAACTTATTAAAACAGTGCTTATCTATATTCAAATGGAATAATCATGTGTGTTTTGATCTTGTAACTATGAGACATGTTGTCAGTTACTGACAATCAAATGGAATTCGTGAGACGATTAGGAATAGTTAGGGAATATGGAAGTATGGGAGTTTGTTTCTCGAATCTCGTCCAACTATTCATCTGTTCGTTGTTTCGACTTCAGGTTTTGAAAGTTCATTGGGGATTGCCACATAATCATATGGTTACTGATGATATAGGAATCTCGGTGAAGAGCAATGAATAAGTCACATTTATCTGGTGAAAGCACCTATTTGAAGTGATTTGAATGAGTGAGAAATATGGAAGTGGGTTGGGGTGTGCAATGATATGTAGAATTGCGAAATCACTCTCATATTTAACAGCTTTATTCCTAATTATTTGCCAATGTTAAAATTCCTGCCCTCTTAACTCCCGATTTTACTAATTGATTATTATACTACTTGAATATTGTCAGTAGGTAAATTTATGTAATCGATTACAAATCCAAATTAATATTCTTATAGATTGACTTCACATAATAATATGAAGTTCGTATTCCATTTCCGAAATAGGTTCTGAGTTTTAACTTCATTTACTTCCTTTTTAAAGCATCTTTACAAAATAAGATCTATTCAAAATAAAGTTTGCTAATGAAGATGAGAGTGAATTAAAGGATATTTACTTTTGTATTCAGTGTGAATAACGTAGTGTTCGATTATTGGGAGCAATAACGAAAATGGACTTTGGTATTTTGCTTAGTTTTGATATTGTTTTGCCGTTATGAAGCTGTAATGTGAGTTATTGGTTATTAGAATATCTGTTGATTTAAAACGATGACTTGTGAAATCGAAAAATGACAATAACTGGAGCACGTTACGAAAAATTTCAGTGTCTATTTCAATGAAATTACAAACTAGAATGAAACAGCCCTTTCGTACTTCCAAAATGTTCCTTAAGTCCCTTATCTAATCTTTCTTTTCTCATCATCACCATGTGTTATAGATTTGATTCTAATCACTTTTTTAGCGAAATTTCCATACTTCAATATCACTATGAAATTCGCAGGGTAGCTATTCTATGTGATCTACTTTCGGTTAGGTTGATTACCTTCTCTCGTACAACGCTATATTTACTAGGAAACATACAAGTTGTCCTAATTTCTTCATCAATTTGTATCATATTCCAATGCTACTATAGTCTAAGTGTCGTTGTGCATAAATCATCTGGTTTATTTATTCCCCTTGGATCCATCTTGCATAAGAAACATCTCCAAATCACCGTTACCGGGATTCGAACGGAAACAATCAATAACACAACATGCTAAGAGATTTACTGTCTGTTATATCTAGAGCTTAGGTTCTTGATATACCGTGTGCAACTTGAGCACTCGAACGCTAGAACTCTCCAAGTCGCAAATGAGAATACAGAATACAAGTGGAAGGAATGCTATTCCAAATAGTGACAAATTTGGTACAAAACCGTCAGGTATTTATAGTTTTTAATAAAAACGAAATGATCATCATAATTATTCATTTCTTATACAGGGGTATTTTAGCATTTATCCAATAGGGAAGCTACACGTAGAGATCCTGGAATATTCTTCCGGAAGATAATTGGATGAAATATCTTCGGCTCTTTCTGAGCTTCATAGAGCATCCTCGAGTTCAAATGTGTGCCGTCCTCACATCATCCAAGCGTGGAATCAATTCATGCAAAAAACTATTATCGATTCCTTGATCGAAAATTTTGGATCGTTATCTTATGTGTTTGAGATACATGAAAGATATACGACTTTTGATAATATCACCTGACCTGTTTATTCATGTAAATCACTTTATTGACAGCACATAAGAAGGCTATTTTTGAATTACTGTCCTGAAAAGACAATGAACAACTTAATTAATAATATCTGCGTCAATCACAATTTTCTTTCCTTATTCTAGATTATTACTAGTCATATTGTAGTGAACGAGAACACAAGTAGGGACAATCGAATATATATGAACACACAAATTACAGAACGTCTTAGTAAACTGAGAACCATATAGTAAATACTTCATTGTTTCTTCGTTTCCACAACAATCACTCTCTGTTCTCGTTCTCTTGTCTCCGATCTTCTTAACCTTCTGCCACCAGGGATTTCAATTCCGATTAGTGATACATACTATTTATATCTGTCGCCATCAGTGGCACACACAACATTATATTCCACTGGTTGTTTGGATTGTTTTTGCACGGACATTGTTTCTCATTGTAGGAACGTGAGTGGTTAGTACTCATATTCATACATGTAAGTAACCACGGACATAAATTCGATTAAGAAAATGGAAACATTCTAGTAAGAAGAAATTCTAAAAAATGACATAGAATTTCAAGAATCATGACAATGAGATTGGTAGGTGATATGTGGACTGACTTTTGTATATCCAGTCTATCAACCCATCCATAAATGGTCATTCGGTTAAATAGTTAGATGTCAATCAATGAAGACAGTCAACAAGAATATAAGGACGAATAAAAACAACCAATCACAAGCCATAATCACCACGCTTAACTTATTTAGTGTTTTTCGATAAAAAGACGAAAAGAACGAAGAAATATTTTCAAAACTAGTTTGTCATAAAATCTCTACACCAATATATATAGAACAATAATCATAATAAGTTATACCAACCAGGTGGTGAGGTGTGAAATAATTGCAAAGCCCTTCGCGTGTAAAGTAGTCTCTGATGATATCGTTTACCGGGGTAATGGTACCCTTGCGACCCAACTATCCATCTTAGTAAAACGCAGATACCACCGAGATTCTCTATTTTTGATGACGCCAACTTCGAAAAACAGAAAGTGAGCAATAAATATATTGAAGATGCCACAGGTATTCGGAGTTTGACAACACTCTGACCAGTAACACCTTGTTTTATGAATCGTACCCACCAAGTGGAATCAAAAGACAGAAGCGAGGAGGTTCGAAGATATATTTGAAAGGCTATCAATATATCGAGGATCGACTGATCTAATCTGGCTAACGATTGCAGAGGATGTTGAGCACGGCGTTCCCACTCGTGATCTGGTGAAGATACATAACCAAGCGCCTTCATCTAGGTGAGTCCATTAAAACTAATGTGGTCAGCATCCAAAGTCGAAAACTTACAGAGCTATTTATTTTGGGGATTTATTTACCGCTACAATATTTTGGAAAGTCTTGATGATACAGGTATACAGAAATCCTAAGAAAAGCCAGATAGTTACGTGCTAAAGAGAGCGTGAAAACATGCAAAAGTTTTACTGGATAGAATAATGATTTATTTTGAAACTTCTATCTTGAAAGGAGTTAATATAAATTACCAGTTTTCCTGTAACCCATAGAATTGTGGTGTATGCTACTTATGTCTGTCGACGTAAGCAATATGTAACACCAGTCGGATGTGGAAGGCCTGACATCAGAAGGTTGCAAAGATCGGACTGAAGAGAACTGAAATGTAAACAGAAAGTAATAGCAGTGAAGGAGCGATGAAGTTTGAGACAAGTGATGAAAGATTTACAAATGAAGTATAATGTATGGTTTCCATATTTTACCGAAGAATTCTATGATTTTGCACTACAGGATAAAGTGGTCTTCCCAACTTTGGTGTTCGTGCATTAAGGAATTAACTGTTTTTGTAGACCCATAGGGAGATTTCTATCAGGTCACTGTTAGGGTTCCTGAATGAACATCATCTCTGGGATACAGGCACATCCAGCTGATAAGTCCAACATGGGGCGAAACTCTCGTCCTGGATTTAACTGCTAGCCACCATTCATTTCTGCTTATAATGCTTGTGAATCAAGGCAATATTTCAACGACAAATCAGCAATTCTGATGAATGCAATGCTATCAAAATCAGTCCACTTAACTCTTTACTATTGTTTATAATTTTATTTGATTTTATAGTTTTTCTGTTAATAATGTATAAATCTTGACAGAATTTTAAGACAGATTTATAGAATTTTACATTAGCTTGTAATTTTTGTAATGACGTTGAAAAAAATGTTTATTTTATCTAAAGTATAGCACGAAGCAAGTGATAACCTGGAATCCTGAAGGGAAAAGGAAAAGAGGAAGGTCGAAGAACACAGTATGTCTGGAATTGGAAGCAGACATGAAAAGGATGGATAGAAACTAGAAACAAGTGAAAAGGATTGCCTAGAACAGAGTTTGACGGAGAATGCTGGTGCGTGACCTATACTTCACCATAAGGGGTAACAGACGTAAGTAATTAAGTAACTAATGTTCTTAATAAGTTATCAATGTGTATGATGTTAACGTCAAAGATTTTAAACGTCCAAAAAACAATTACTTTTTAAGTGAGAATTTCAATAGCTATTGTTTTAAAGTGCTACATGAGCCTCGAATTTGTTATGTACATGTCGGGTCTATTGTCGGATCCTACTGCTCATACTTAGAAAAACAAACCACTCTTATTCCCGCGGTGTGAAGTAACCACACAAAGATTGGTGCAAATGAAGATTTGTTGACTCGCTAAAATTACATCCCCAAAACAAGTCGTCCATAATTACATTATTAAACCAAATACACTCATATATATTCTGATGTTATACACACTTGATGACTAACTAATAAACATTAAATACGTGAAATGATACACAAGGTTACCGTAAAACACAATGTTCATACAAAATAATATAAAAGATATAATTGCTATACTGGGCTGAAGTTCATACATGTCATGCCGAACAGAATCAACAGTTAATCGATACAGATATATTGACCTAGAATAATATTGCACTAGAAAATATAAAACTAATGTAGTACTGACCAAAATGTTGTACTAAGAATTAAACCAATTGTTAGATCTATCGAAGCGTCCAAGTCACTCGATTGAGATACGCGCAAAACCGAAGTTTCTAAAACGAGTGCCAAGTAGCACGAAACCCGGGTCCAGGGTTTCCTGTTGACTACCTCCAACCACCATCTAAATCTCAATACATAGTGCCCGCAGTGTCGAGTCACCTAGACTGGCGGCCACATTGCAACATGATCGATAGCATTCGATCTGCACTAGTAAGGACTAGACAAGCATGACATTGATCACCACCCAGTGGTCAATCAATTGTAATATATCTAGAATTTCCATGATGATCTAGCTTCAATTGACACATGATTTCAACTATTAAAATTAGATGGGTTTTGTAGATATTATAGTAATTTCAATGGTTAAGATCATGAGTCAGTTGAAGCTAAACCACCATAGAAAACCTGGAAGCACTGAACGGCCGTTTCGTCAGTTTTGGATTAATACCAGAATAAGGATATCTATTCATATGACAGTGTAGACTATTCGAATTACACTAATCATATGTTTGATATGATATTCATATTTTCATTCATAATTAGGAAAGTTACCAGATGTTAATATATAAGTGTTTTTATTAAGAACAGAACAGTGGTGATAAATGATTTTGCAAATATTCATAGAGTTTCTGTAAGATCTTTTGATCTTTACTTACATTGAATTGACTATTAAATAGGACGAAACGGTCATCCAGTGCTTCCGGGTTTTTCATGGTGGTCTAGCTTCGATTGGCTCATGATTTTAACCATTGAAATTACTATAATATCCACAAAACCCATCTGATATTAATCAACATATGCTCACTAGTGTCTGGCTTCACGAGGTATATCCTGGAGTTCTAGTGAGAAGTACTGAACAGTGGAGTTCAACCAGATCTGTTGTGAGGTAGTAACTCACTGAAGACAATGATGGATGTGTCGCTCAATTTCGTAGATCAGTTGAAGTTAGACATTAACACCGTTGGATGCCGGCCAGCTCAGTGATTTAGTGTTTAAGTGCTCGCGTGCGAAACCAGTAGATCATGGGTTCGAATCTCGCAGGAGGCGAGGTCGTGGATGCGCACTGCTGTGGAGTCCCATAATAGGACAAAACAGCTGTCCAGTTCTTCCAGGTTTTCCATGGTGGTCTAGCTTCAACTGACTCATGATCTTGACCATTGAAATTATTAAATTTACTATAATATATAACAACAATAACAACAAGAAAAAACAACCTCTTCTGAAATAGTAATTACTTTATTCAATGAAGTATTTCAAAAGACAGAAAAAACTAAAATTAAATATTCATATATATTCAATAATGCATCTAATACAAATCATTCATTTCAATATTGAACATTGAATGTCGAATAATGACAATTATTATTATTATTATTATTATTATTTTGAAGTAAACAAGTCAAATAATAAATATATGAAGAGCATAATTTAAGTATTTGCAATTTTGATAAACGTCGATTTGATGATAAATAATTATGAATTGGTAATAAACTATGTAATTTTTTAAATACTTTATTAAATTCCGCTACACGTTGACGTTCACGTGCTGCATGCGCATAACGATATTGTAATGATGCACGTTTATAACGTTGATATTCACGAGAATATTGTTTTTTATAAAGATTCAACTGATTTTCAGTTATATTATTATTATTATTATTAATCGATAAAATATTAGTAGTAGTCTGATAATGATTAAATATTGGTTTGTGTTCTATTATCATTGATAAGTTGTTTTTTTGGTTTGTTGTTGTCATCGTCATTGCAGTTGTCGTTGTTGTTGACGTCGTTATTGTTGTTGTTGCTGAATTTGTTCCCTTTTTTCGATTCAACATCATCATCATTGTTGTTGTTAAATCTGATGTACTTGTTACAAATGATGAATAAAGATTATTACATAATGAATGCTTCAATGTATTAGATCGTATTGACGAATTACTATTCATTATGATAAATGATAACAATAATAAAATAAACTAGTTTTATATTATTAAATGTATTTTATAGTATAATTGATAAATAATACTGTTTCATTTAAAACAAAATTATATATATATATATATATATATACTCTTTCATCAAAATATTTTGATTGGTTAAAATAGGTTAATAGGCAAGCAACATTACCTAATGATACAATCCTATATATACATATTGAATGGAACAAGTATACAAATTAGTTAATTTTAATAATAATAATAATAATAATAATAATAATAATAATAACGGATGCTACACTATTATAAGTAAATAAGTAATGAATTGTGTTACATCAATGTTATATATCTGATAACTAATTAAATTAGCCATTATTATTATTATTATTATTATTATTACATTAATATTGTTATTGTTATTAATAGTAATTGTTTTGGGAATTGCTTTTCTTCAAATTTATGTAGCCATAGGCTAAATAACTTTATATGAAATAAATCAACAAACTATTATTTGTGTCATATATCGTTAAAAAAAAGTAATTATGTTCAGTATTTCATCTAATATACAAATTGACAAGATTCTATTCTGTTAATATTGTTTCTTTGATTTAACTCTAAGATTTCATGTATAGTAACTAAAAGAATTGGATGGAATTAGAAAAGAAGGTCCAGGACAGAGAGGGTTGGAGAATGCTGGTCGGCGGCCTATGCTTCATTAAGAGTAGCAGGCGTAAGTAAGTAACTAAAAGATATATATAAGACAACACGATATTATTAATCAAAACTAAATCTCAGATAGAAGATTGTGTAACAAATGATTTGAAACTTAAATTAGACGATCATTTATGATACAGAAATAAGGTTATATTGTAGTGGCTGTGCTTCGTTGACTAATCACCCTCGTAAGCGTTATCATATAATACTCAACGGTGTCTGAAATCAGAAGGCAAATAGAAGCAGAGACTACATTTTTATTAGCAGATAACTCAGATCACAAAGCTATATATATATATATATATATATATATATATATATATATATATATATATATATATATATATATATATATATATATATATATATATATATATATATATATATATATATATATATATATATATATATAGGGAAATGAATGGACCGTCGAATCAATTAAGCAGTTAATAATAAAGCTAGCAGAATGAATATATGCGTAGGCGGTAAGTAATATTCAAGCCTACATATTTCAAACAAACAATTAATAATAAAGGTACAATAGGTTGTTATATTACGGATGGCTCTGTCCGCTAAATAAGTTAACAAAATGGCTTGACCGAATTAAATAAGAACAAACTCAATTGCACGTGAGTTACTATAATATAAAGAATATTATGGAGTACTGTTGGGTGAAGATTTTGTTCTAGTTTGAGTTTTTCTGACAGTGTACATTCAATGCTCCTCATGAGGTTGTAGTGACCTACTTTTATCAAGAGAACGCGATTGATTTAATGGAAAAAAAATCATTATTATAACCAATTGTACCAGTGATTGTTTTACTGTGCTCGTTTGTTTAACTGTTCTAAAGACAGCTATATTACTGCTCCATTATCCTTTGATTGATTGTGACCTTGCACGGGTTTGGTTACGCTGGGTAACCACACTCGTACTCCTTTGGCACGATCTCGGTATCCTTTCGAGACCACGAGATCGTCAACAAATACATCTTGACTACAGCCATCAACTGCCTTCTGATATTTGGCTTACAGGGGATTTTATCGCTTAACTGGCACGTAGTCTTCTTGTAGTGGTGTTTATAGTCATTTGCAACTCGACCCACGCCACAAGGTTGTACCTAATAATATAAAAATCTCATAGATAGTATCACACTTTGTAAAGATAATTGATAACCTAATCTGTGAATAACTTTAAAATAGTCTTTTTGTTTAAAATTGCATTTATCATTCATGTTGCCGAAAAACATTTTTTTACAAGCACTTGTGGAGATTTTTTTAAAATAATGATTGTCTTGTAAACACAATTGAGCTATCCCGATTTCAAAATACAATACATATAAATGAGTTAGCTGTTTTCAGTTCTGCTCTAGTCGTGACTATTTGCATATATAATGGTTTGTTCATGGAATTACTGGTTCGCACAGTAGGTTATGTACTATTAATGCTTTGAAATGTTTTAGTACTGTTGGATTTTAAACATCAGCAAACGTTTTGGGTTGATATATGCTTATGATACACCGTGTCTCCTAATCGTTTACTTTAATCTCTCCATAGCACTTCTTTTAAGTGACCAATATTAAAGAATTATTGACATTTTAATAAATCGATTTACCTGACCGCTATCCTGGGAACTTTCAAACTACAAAATAGGTGGAGAGGAAAAAGATACTTATATACTTTCAACTTTCATAGGTCATGACTGTACAGTAGTACTTGCCTATTTGGTTGGTGTCATCCCGCAGGGAAACTTTGATACAAACAGTTTGTTTGGCTACATTATTGGACAGTTTATTTAATAAGTCAGAACATGCAGACAAATACCAGAAATTTTAATCCCGTTAACAGTCGTGAACAGATGCTGAAACTATGGGATCTTCTAATCCGTGTCAATCTACCTTATTTGATAAATTTTCACTCAGTAACGATGGTCTTAAACTCCAGTCATTATTTGAATAGTTTAGCCAAACAAAGTAACACAACCGTCAAGAATAATATGATGAATTTTAATATGAGGGTAATGAAAGCAGGAAACTAAGCATGTTAAATCACAGGTTTTGGGAGAGAACCATTATTAATTTGTATACTATTAGACAGGAAGTCTAAGGGTTGTATAGAATGAGAGGATATGGAGGATAAAATAACTTTCAAATGATTGCTATCTAAATCTTATTTCCAGTTGTTGTGAAAAAGAATCTGTAATGGCAAATAAGTCTGCAAAATAAGTAGTTCTGTAGGTCTTAACGTTGATCCTTACCTCCTTAGTTTCACTAGATACACCCTATCTGAAGGCGTTCAGTCGCACATCCGCACCAGATCATCATTAAGTACATACTCCTCATAACAACTAGCCAACAACATCAAACGCTTCTCAGCATATCAACTACCTTCCAAATATATCTTTTAAATGTTCATTCCTGATTGCTGATTTGACTTGGTTGGGGTCTTCCGATTATTAATTTTCTAATGACAAAAGCGTCGTCAAACTTTGAGTATCTGTAGCGTCTTCAAATCTGTTGTTTAACGAATTTAATTAGATATAATCACTAAAGGTCATGGTGTTTGCATTTGAAAGCGATATGCGACATTATACCACATATCGTAACCATTACATAAAGGCTTCTATGTAGTTTATAATTGTATTTTTGAAAGTCGACGTAACAGAAGTTACTGCCCACTTTCCTACATCACAAGAATCAAGTCTGAAGACAATTGTTGTATCCTCACCTAAAACTTCGGAATTTCTATTTCAACGCTTGAAATCAAATCATCAATACACGTTACGCTTTAATGTGCAACACTCACTGGATAAACGGATGGAGACATGGTCAAAAGTGATGGGTATAGCACACTTAACAGACGCTGAAGATATTGAGTGTAACTCCAGCTACATCTTTTCGTATAGGGAATGTAGTACACGCTCATGAATGCTTTATTGCCGAATTACAACTTTGTAATGTTATTAAGTGTACAAATGTTCACAATCAACCTGATAATGAGACAAAATATCCACAGTAATACTTGAAACTCAAAAAATTTGTGAACATTGAGTTCAATAATGCTAGGAAGGCTTAATTTACTTGGGTTCCTCGCGAATAACACTCAGACTAGACAAAGTGGTAATTAGTCCATATAGTTCACAAGTGATAACACAGATTTCCACTTACATCCTTTTTAATGCGACTATCAGTCTTAAACATTCCTCTTCACTAGCCCCAATGACTTACGACAAGAAATTTAGCATCCGTAGGATACTTGGGTTAATATCAAAAGCTTTTACTGAGCTCATTCCTATGGAGTCAGTGATGAGTCACTGAACCCAAATCAAGTATTAGTGTGTTGAATCATGTATTCGACCATACCCAAAACATAATAACATTATGGCAGCCGTTATATCTGAACGAGGAATAAGTGAATGGTAACTGCTAGGATTTATTTATGGATTGCTATTATATATATTCTTATTGTATAACTGTTAAGAAACTAAACTATATATATGTTTATATTCCTGTTATTATAAGCTTTTATTTGACATAATGGTTAATGTTCTATGTTTTACTACTCTTAATTTATTAGTCTTAGTCTCTCACAAACACAGCCACTTTTTGGATTGATCTTCTACAAATGTTATTTTCTATTTTATGGTATGATGTGGTCTGATTTTGCATGTATATAAACCAAGTGTGTTTGAAATATATGATTAGATATAACGAAGGCTGATATTTGTGTTAGGGATTGAATCGGATGGATTAGACAAGAAGTTACTATCTCAAGGACCAATACGTACTCTAGACTTCTCGTACTAGTTTATACGTCATTGACCCGGTCAATAAGTTGGTGACTCTAATTGGCGATCTTATCTCGTGATAACAGGCCATAAGGACATAATAGCACCTTTCAAAAAACCGAAAAGGGATCTCTTGGAGTCAATACAGAGCTGAGCCACAAAATTGGTCAAGATCAAGGTTTAAACCCAATAAAGACCGATTCCGCTATCTAGGACAGCTTTCTTCAAGCTGTAGAAGAGTACGATGCGACCTAATTATGCTGTTTCATACTAACTATTTTGTGGAATCGGTTCTCTACCACATGATCCTTGGAGCCAACACAAGATATTTGAAGACGTTTACACTTGAGATTTAAGACCAAAGATAAGGTCAAAAACCCCCACATGAAATATTGTAGATTAGTTAGTCACATCGTGACAAATGTATGATTTTGATAATACGTCATTTATTCTGGTGGCAAAGTTATGTGGTGGTCGGTATTCGACATAATCCTTAAACTTCGTATACAGTTCGTCTTGATAACCGTCCTAAATAACGCCCCAATGGTATATTAATCAGAAGGCGAATACGAAGCGTTGATTACGTTTATTACGAGACCACGCACATATGTCCCAAATTACAGATGCGTTAAACAAGTATAGAATAGTTGTGCCGAAAGGCAAGCAAGCGAGCGAGAGCGAGAGAGCAAGATCAATGAATATGAATAACATGGACATATATATACGTAGTGAAATGAATACATGCATGAATACATGCGTGGGCTGTAAGCAATATTCAAGCATACATGTCCATACATTCGGAATAGTAATAAAGATACAATGATATAGATAAGTTGCTGTTAGGATGACTCAGTTCGTTAATAAGTTAATAAAATGACTTGATCGAATTAATTGTGAACAAACTCAATTTCACGTGATCTGTTATAGATAAATGCACCTGATGCCTGCCTAAACCACATTTCTATGAATATCCCAAGTCTACCAAATAAAAACATCCTGCCCGACCCTTACCAATTTACCTTACGAGGCAATCCATGACAAATAGCACACCAGAGAGTCGATAACAGTGTAATGTCACATTACTTTTCACTATGGGTCAGCTCTATCAGCTGACGTAAACATAGCCCTCTCCGTAAATAGCCCTAAGAAGAGGATTAAAGGCTAAATGGCCATCAACGTTATTCCATCCATTGTATGGAACAGGTGAACCTGATGAATTTCTCGAACCTTTCATTAATATCACTCTTATTATTAACATTAATGTTTGTAACGGGAAGAGGACAATGAAGATCCCTCTGCAGTTTTTTATTGGACAGTACTGTCATTTATTTGTTTCGTCTCCCTGACGTGTATTTTAACCTTTGTTCAGATCTCGTTTAATCACAACTTTTGTTCTTCAGTCATCCTCGTCTGGGCTTTTATTATGTGATTTTGATTAAAGACTTATGTTTTGTTACCTAATTTTTTATTGAATGTTGTCGGACTATTGACAGTAACGTCGTGTTTCACTAAGCTCAAGGTCACGGCGCAATTCAGTGTGTGACTGTTAACCTTTTGACTGCCTGCTTGGGAGGATTGCTGGAATCCCTACAGATAGATATTTTATCCCACTTTGTTGGGAATATTTTTATTGATTCTCAGGTATCGAACCCTTTGGTATTAACTGTTTCTTTTATTGTTTAGCGCACTACTTTGCGTTCGAGAAACTTCTGACTGTATAGCACAGGCTGTACCGTTTGAGATATTTTGTATTTCTGATATAATTTGTTTTATTTTCTAAATTAGAACCGTTTACTTTGAGCACGGAGTTTGTGTTTTGATATAATTTAATACGAATATCTCAAAAACGCTTCCTAAGCTATACAGAAGAACGTAGTCTGGCCTATTCGAATAAATTTTGGTTCGTCAGTCCTGCGTTCAAACCGAATACTGGCAGTTCGGTCGTTAAACTAAGTATTATCCTTTGGGTGCGACTTCAATGTAACGTAGGAAGTCATTCCATTCCTGTCCGACCGGGGTAGACTGACAATCCATATAGGTCATCTGTACTGGTGATCCACAAGTATTTCGTTCTGCCGTTCGCCAAGTTGCATTACTGTATTACTGGTTTTTCCCACTGCAACTAACCATCCTCCTTCCTAGTAACGTGATAGCTACTGATATCCAGAAACTCTATTGCCTTGAGACAAACGCATTTACTCAAACTAAAAAATATGCAAATTCAAAAATAACTACCAATGTGGTTAGAACTAGTGCAGCCGAGTGGCTATACTGTCACACACTGAACATCACAAGATAACCGAAACAACAACTTGGCTAAAAGAAACTGGTCGGTTTACAGAGGCCCTTAAAAAAGATACAACTTATTGAAAACAACTAAATCAGTTTCAGAAGATAGACATTCATGGTAATGCAGGAATATTTTTTCATACTTTGTGGGTATAAATAATGATTAAAAGTATTCTTACTTTCTAACTGGGAATACGCAAAATATTACAATTTAGGGTGGATGGAACTAGATGAGTACAACTAGATGTATATTATAGTTGTAATTAGTAAGAAGTACAAAGGAATCATCAGTTAATGTAAATGCGATAAGCTTCACAGCTTGAATAGGAATCCAGGTTCCTGGAATCTACTTCTTCTTAGGTCCGTCATGCGTCTGTCTGACTGCATATTGAATACAGACTCTGGATGATCTAGAATGTATTTATAAGTGTTGAAATCAACTCGCCTATGCCCTTGTAACGTATTTGGTTGTTGTAACTAGCTTGCATATGAACCATAGTTTTATTGACCTGTTTTAGTAAACCTTTCCTAGATAGTGGAAAAGCTCATGTACGAAGATTTTTTGTCTAAGTAATTTTGTCGTCGTTCCTTTTGCGTACGGTCTGGCAGTTCCTCATTGAAGGACTTCATCTACTCTCCTCTTCAGGTCTTTGAATTTCGCAGCAGTAATAGAACCAATGTTTGTTTTCACGGCCTGGACATTTTCTGCTTGTATATCGAAATGAGAAGGCTTTGGAGTCGTACACGATTCCCCGAACTTTGATGATGTGACCATCATTTTATTTAGCATTTCATTAGAACCGTTGGCAAGACCTTGATTCATGGACGAACCAATCATATTTAAGATTGCGGTCTTGCGTTTTGGAATAAAATTCATTCGTCTATATGGTTAAATAGCATTTCGGCATTACAGCTGATGTCAGTTTATGACGAAAGTCCCGATCCCACTTTATAACTCTAATATTTCATAGTTCCTCACACTGATTCTTAACAATCATTCAATCCTAGTAATGAGGCGGATATTCTCAGGGTCGGTTTGTCATCGCCCGAAAGTCCTCCATAGATTATAGTCTCACGGAACCGTCTTCATTGGTCAATAGGTGTAACAAGAAGAAATGAAAGTATTTGAATGACCAACAATTGTTATACTGAATATTGATAATCTCACTGTTTTTCGCACTCCGGTTTTACTAAAATTTTGAACTTGTTTACTTATAGCTGTGACCTCGGACACGTCGTATTCACATTGTTTGGTTTGCCAACCAGGAAAAAGTAACCAGATATTGAATAATGAGTTTAAACACCGTGGATTTTACCATTTCTTTAAGTCGCCATCTACGCCAACTTAATTTATCCCTTCTTCAGAATCGGTAGTTACATTTACCCATCTGGCTTTTAGTTCAGTGTAACGTACAACTAATGGCCAGTTCAGGCTTCGGCATATAAGCTAAACCAGCTTTCGCGGACTTCGGAAAAATCATCACGAATGATCCACGACAACTTCGTTCTGGTTCACATTCATCATTAAATCATCCTTCTAGTAGCACTGTCGTCCTACCACCTAATGCATTACCTCACATTTTGTAAGGAAGTGGGTACTTCGCATTCAGAAGCAAATCAAAACTTTACATTACAAAAACTTTTACTTGGGAGAATTTTCATACATGTCCACACGAAACTTCCAAAAAGGGTCTTACATCTAGGAGCATTCTTTTTTTGTGGAGGTACATAAGTCCACAAGCTCTGTAAGTCTTTATTATTTGATTCTGATCGCATTAGCTTTAATAGATTTACCTGGCTGAAGGCACTCGTTCATGCATGCGTACCAGATCTTGAGTTAGCACTCCATGCTTCATTTCCCCTACAACCGCTAACCAGCTTAGATCAGTCACTTTCTGATACATCGACATTCTATCAAATATGTCTTCGAGCCTCTTCGTTTCTGACTTCTGATTTCACTGGGTTGGTAAGTTTAGATTATAAAAGGTGTTTCTGGTTTAGGTGTTATCAAACTCCGGATACTTGTGGCGTCTTTATTCTCTTAAAAGTTCGTGGACGCTCAAATTTGTGGCACAAGACAGTATCTTCTGCTTATCAGAAAATTTGTGCTTTCCTGCTGTCTGTTATATAACTCTTTTAATATTGCTGCAAAACCAGTGCTGCACAGTACCTTTGTAACAAAATCGATGATATTTAAACCTCTCCAAAGTGTTTTATCCGACAGTATTACTATTTTTTAAAATCTCTTAGTCTTTTACACAACAGCATTTATCCAGGACCTGTATAGCTCATTTTTACCTCTGTTTCTCCTAATTTATTATTTACAGAAAGGCTGTTCTACAAATTCAGACTGCGTACAGAGGATCTTCTTAGGTTACGTTTTGACTGTTACATAACTCCATTTTTCCTTCCTATTTGACATGAGTCGCAATACCGTCCTAGATTATCAAAAAGTTATTTTAATATAATGAATATCTTTAAAACGTTTTGAGACAAGACATAGACATTCTCTCAACAAAAATAAAGCAATAAAGCCTTTGTAGATATCCTGACTTAGAATTGGATTTTGAGCCCATACATTGGAGTAAGCTACAGTCAGTGTTGGCAACATTTGGTGATATACGCTACTTTTATATCGTCCAGTGGTGGTTGTTGTGGTCTATTTTACGGTGTGAGGATACTTATTTCCTATCAAAAGACTTAAGAATGTGGCAGGAAGCACGCAAGCAGGAGAAACATATCAAGACGCTGATGGTTGATTATAAGAGGAGAGCAGAGCGGAGGAGAGATTATTATGAGCGCATTGTAAGACTGTTATACATAATACATCCTTCTTAGAAACAAGACCCAATTAAATTCCTTCGCTTGTTTGGTAGATCTTCAAAGCTTCATCTGGATTCTGAAGTGACGAAGGCTGCTGAAAACCCCAATAACATGTAATTTCATGTCATTTCAATGAAACCCATGTATACATTGCAACATCTGCTTATTTTTATTTATTGAAACTAGTTTTAGGAATTTCCCTGCAGATTGACATTGTTTTTAGCAGGTTTCTTGGATTTATTCACACAGTAAATAGCTATGAATTGTCCTAGTTTGTTTTAGTGGTCTTAGGAGGAATTCGCTGCTTCCATTTATGTTTTCTCATGTTAGTACAGCTTTCTTGTGAACATAGATTTAATGACCTTAGTCTATTATACATGGTTCTGATTTCGGCGTAGTTGAAAATCATGTTTCAACGCTACCGGGTTTCGGTCGCGTAATGTGTACCTGTTGATGCTCATTTTTGTTAAAATCAAAGTTTAACTGAAGCAGTATGTATTTTTCCGCAGGAAGGAATTGTTATCGGTAAAGCCAAACATGTTCAGCATCCGTACTTTGTTGAGAATGATAAACTAGTGAAGTATATCTTCTTGATAGACTACTTTTCAAAGGTTAACTTGCTTATTAATTAATTTTATTCACCTGTTAGATAATTTATAGGATTTATGTGACAGTAGTTGGTAGGGTTACTCATGTTTCATCCGAAAGATGGGTTTGACTAAGCCCATGGTTAGAGCACTTTATCCAACAGATTGCAAATTTGAACCTCGCTTTCAGTTTTGTATGTCAAGTGACACCGCTAGCCTTTATGCAGTTCTTTTCAAAGCTAAGTACATGGGCATATACCTGGTTATTAAATTACACTCGGTATGGAGTGATTATTCTAAATTGAGAACAAAAATTATCACATTTTTATTGGCGTATTCAGGCATGTCGTTTAGGATCCTTAATCCTTAGTTCCGGCCACCTCTTGTGTTGTATGCCATTTTTAATTAAGAGTACAAGGAAATAGATCCTAATAATCTATTTATCATCTGCCACTCGGTTTTTATGACTCCATGAAGCAAGCTATCTGAGGTTGAGTAACAGGATTTCGGTTTACTCTCAAGCTTCTGAGACCAAAATGTGATAATCAGATAATATAGCTTTTAAAGTGAATCATACGGCGAGACTATAATTTATGAGCGAACCAATCGGGTATAAGGTAACAGGTATCGGGTTTTGGCGCAAAATTCACTCATCCATTTGGCTAAATAGAGTTTTGGTATAATAGCTGATACCGGTTTGTGATGAATACCTTAAATCTAATTCCTAACCTTAACCATCAACTGTAAATCATAATTCTAATTCCGCACACTGGTTTATGACCCTTATTTGGTCCTTGATATTACGTAGACACTGAATATCAATTTAGCGTCGCTCAAAGGTCGTCCATAAATCATAGTCTCATCAATCATACTCTTATAATATTACTTATTGTCAACAGTGGTGTAAGCCTAGGTTGCACAATTGAAAATCAGCCAGTGACCCAGAAATTCATCATTTGTTCTCCTTAAAGTCTTAAATATTGCCCTATCTCATACTTTGACCTCTTTTTTGTTCCTTTCAAATTTACATTACTATAAGATCTACTTCCCCATCCCGTTGTTTTTCCTCACCAACATTATTTGGATGTACTAACGCAAAGTTTTTCAACTTAAAGTAATATTCAAATCAGACTCTATTATTGGTCTCTTCATTTGAAGATCACAAAATAGTTGACATCTGAACCTCTTTGGGTTTAGACAAGTCTGTCTGAATTTAGATTTTATGGTTTCTTTTTCACGTTTCATAATATTATCGTTTTACATTTACTTCTTTGATGAAAAAGGATGCCTTGGATTGGAGACCCATCTATTATGATCGATCGCTTTGATGTACGGGCTAGCTTGGAACACTATGACACTCGAGTAGCTGATGATGTCAAGTATGCTCATCATCTAACAGATTTGTAATAATATACATTTAGACTTTCGTCGACAGAAAGAATCGAAGCCAGGCTATGTAACTACGAACGTTATCGGTGCCTTATTCACAATGAATATGCATCAGGTATGAATGGGGTGGTTCTATCTTCCTTTTGCAGTATATTTCATATTATATGGTCTTTTTCGTTAGTTTGTATACAGAACTTTAGTAGTTCAGGAGTTTTATGTTTGCAATTGTACGATATAGTACTCAATTAGGTTATTCAGCAGTCAAAATAGTCGAATATTTTAGTAATTATTTATATACACCAGATTCATTTAAAGCTTTTCGTCTAAATAAATTATTCTTATATCAGTGTCGTTATCTGTATCTGGAATGTTGGTTCTAAATATTTAGTGAAAAATCAGATGAAAGAGATTGTCAGATATTAATTTACTAGCTGTTCCAAATGTATTTTAAAATCACTAATTTGAGCAAAATTTAGACTCAGAGAGTAAGTATATTTCTTCTAAAAATATTTTTCACCTGCATTTCCTCCAACATACTCATTATGCGTCCTACATTTCTCTGTGATACGAAAAACAAGTTGCGTCTAGACAAACACTTCACTCTTCATGTGAGACCCATCATATTAGGCAAATGATGAAGCAGTTGTATCAACGCATCTATCTAGTGTATTTCTCAAAAAAGATTGCTTATTTCACAGTTTGAAACCAATTTGAACGCATTATATTATCGTGGTTTACTGCAGTCGTTATGGTCAGGGGTATACTAAGCAGTTTGTATAGTAAAGGTTTTATGAACCTTCATCAATATTCCAACAAAAAGTTTGACGGAAAATGGGCATCGAGTATATTAAAAACATTGTTTAGGGATATGGTATTTGAGATAATCCCAACGATTGTAATTTTATTAGTTCCAACGTTTCGTTCATCAATCTTTTCTCGACTTCTATGGCGTAGTAATCAATATTATCAAAAAATTTGTAACCTCTAACAAACAAATCATGACTTAAAGCTCATCCAATTGTACCAGATGTTGACTTTGTTAAGTGGGAGAATATGAGTCAGTAAGATGTTAATAATGCATGTATACCCTTATGTTATTAGTAGTTAATAATTGGCGTGAGTAAATACAGTCTTTGTCTATTACCAAAGGTATATTAAGCATTTTATTTATTATTCATCACTCATTCCAATGCTCATTCTGAAGAAGTCCAAACAAAATTGATGAACGGAACGTTAGAACTACTCAAATTTCAATCGCTGAGATTATTGCAAATATCATTTCCACACATAATGTCTTTTGTTTCTAAACATGAGCTGGTGCATATATATCTGGTGCCTCCTTGTACCAATATTTATGTGTTCAAATAAATAAAATAAAATTTCTTTCAGCTTTTATAACTTGAATTTAATGTCATCATTTTAGATAATATTTTCCTCTGCTATGATTACTACTTAGCTATTGGTTTTACTCCACTATTTATCAACCTCATTTTAATACAAGCTATCTCCGATCACTATAGTAATTAAGAATTATTTTATACAGATGTGTAGCTAAGTGAAAATGTTTTATTGGTTACTGAACTTTACTGTCATCATGCTTAATCATCAGCCGAATAAATTGTGTATCCAAGTGATATCTGTTAAGGGTTACTATTTTAGTTTGCTATGTTCATGGTTGAATTTAAAATAACAGATAAAATGCCAATTGATAAACTGGTTATACGAAATAGTACAATGTGGTCGGGTGATAGCTACTTGTGAAAGTTAATCTATTGACTTACTAAATTCACTGACAATCTTCGACTGAATAATATTTTTAAAAAGTCACAGAGATGTGTCTCTATTTCTCTATAACAATGCATAAGACAAGATAGGGATATTGTGATAATAAATACGGTATGGCATAAATGTCATAATTATGTCTAAAGGTTATCAAGTATCCAACAAATTTTTCTTGTTTCGATTTCCATCCGTCTTCTGTCTGTCATAGCATTTGCAAGCAAGACATGAGTTTTTCTGTAACAACGTTGTTATCAAAATTTTGTATATTTTACTACATATCAATTTATGATATCAGTTTCCAAATTCAGTTTGACTGAATTGGTTCCTCAATATCATCTAGTCTGCAACCATAAATACTCTTTGTTCTGATTCACAGAAAAATATAACCGCATGAACAAGTTGTGCACAGATTAATATGCAAGATGTCAGGAATAATAAATACCTAAATTATTTCTATCTTGTACATATATATTCACTTTTCATTAAGTTTTCATGGAGCAATGGTTTTACTATATATTTTTTCTATCTCAAGTCACCGAAGCAATGGCTTTGAAACAAATCGAAATGGATGAAAAGTATGGTGATATGGAAAAAAGACGTAAAGAAGAGGAAGAGGCTACTGTCAAAAAGTAGGGTGTTCATAAAATCTCATTTCTAATTACTTTCATTACCTAGTTCATTAGTTTTTTCAAAGATTGAATTATTTCAATAAGATGATGGAAAGAATACAATTCACTTACCAAGTACATGTTAATTTATTTGGCTTTGAGTCATATTGTTTATGTGACGGTAAGTGATACTACCAGATTAGCTAATCCAAAATATGTGGAATTGGATTTGTATCTATAACCTATTGGTTAAAAGTCGAGTGTTTAAACCACTAAACCATCTCTGAGATGAATCAATAAAAAAGTCAAAGCAGGTTCATAGAAGTATAATTCAAGACGGTGATACCAAAAAAAGATTATGCATATTGTTTTCAAAAAAAGACAAAATTAAAAACGCCCAAAATTTGTTCAAAAGTTCTGTAATGTGGGATTTCGCTGGTGATTTCTCTGTGGTGATGATATGAAGCTATCGACTTAGATCAATGCAAATTTACCGCATCGTCCTGCATTGTTTACGCTTGTTTGTCTAATTCCCTTTTTATACTGAGTTTTTAAAGTCAACTACCAATGCCTATGCAGAATTTCTTTTTCGGGGGGGGGGTAGCAGTTACCGTATTTTTTAATAAGTTTTATTCGTTACTATATATTGTTAATTATTTAAAATTGTTAATATAAACATATCCAAAGAGGTTCGTTCCATACTTCATGTGTGTCTCTGAAAAAATATACATAAAGCAAATAAAGGTCTAAGATTTAAAAAGAGTCCTTGAAACAGTAGATAATAGATGTGTGCGTTCACAACTAAGGATTTTTATTTAGTTCAACCCTTACTACCTCTTTGTCTTATAGTACATTCCAAATATGTCATTGTAGAACATTCCTAACTTTCTTTGCGTACATGAATTTTGATGTATTTGTTTCTCAGTATACCAGAAAGGGTATACAAGAGGAATGATGTAAATGAAGTGGGCGATTTTTATCTGATAGAATAACATTTGCTAATTTTTTTACAAAAGCAGAACATAGTTAGTTGGTTATTAAGCTCTCTCTCTTTACATTAGCGAAATTCCTTACTAGCAGAGATCTTGTAACAATCAGTAAAGACAGGGTTGTAATCCAGGAGCGTACGTCAACCATATTTGTCACACTTTTCCATACATACACACCTAAAATATTTAAATTTTTGTTAACAAACTGATATTGGTAAATATGATCATTTAATAAAGAATAAAGTTTAAGAAATAGCATTAGTTCCTCTATCATTATAAAGAAGAGGAATTATTGGTCTAGATCTAAATGTGACAATATTATCATTAGATAATTTCTTTGGAACTGTGATTGCTTTAAATTTCTTCCTCATATTCATTATAAATTTCACTAAGATAAAAAAGATTCTTTCAAAATGTTTATGAAATGATCGAGGCTGTCATTTTAATTAAGTCTTACTTACGCCTGTCACTTCCAATGGAGCATAGGCCACCAACCAGAATTCTCCAATCTACTCTGTCCTGGACTTTCGTTTCCAGTTCTATCCAATTGCTGTTCATTTTTCTCATGTCTGTCTCCATTTCTCGGCGTTATGTGTTCTTTGGTCTTCCTCTTCTCCTCCTTTGGCCTTGAGGATTCCATGTGAGGGCTTGTCTTGTGACGCAGTTGGGTGCTTTCCTAAATGTGTGTCCTATTTACTTCCAACGTTTCTTCCTGATTTCTTCCTCCACTGGAATCTGGTTTGTTCTCTCCCACAGTAGGTTGTTGCTGATAGTGTCTGGCCAACAGATCCGAAGTGTTTTTCGTAGACAGTTGTTGATAAATCAACCAATAAATTTGTTTAAAAAGATCTCAAGTAGATCACACAAATTATCTGTACGTATCAAATAAATTGAAGTCGTTTTAGGAATTAATGCAAGATTGTTGATTATTGTTCTTGTCACAAGTTAATTATACTTAACAAGATATTCTAAATTTCGCATTAATTTTGAAAATCATTTCACTTTTCAATATTATTTATAGATTTTTAATATTTCCCTAAAGTTAATCACGTCAACACATATGATACTATTTAGCTTACACATCTATTTCATTTTATAATCAAGTTTCATTTTTTTACACAATGTTATTAAACTATTTGTTAATCATCTACTTATTTATTATTCATAATTTCAGAGCCCAAGAATCAAAAGCTGCTATTGGATTTGTTTATGAAGATAGTACATGTTTTTCTGAACCTACCGTAATCAATACCCAACCTTCTACATCTCAAGATAATAGTGATACCGATGATGAAGCAGATAGTGATATGGATATTGGTATGTTGTATTTGTTGTTGTTATTTCATGTATTCTATGCAATTCCAATTCCATTGAATGTGCAATTATTATTATGAATGTCAATAACATAATTGGCAAAAGTATACTGTGCTGATGACCTTGTGTGACTTGTTAGCCAACCAGAAAATGCTGCCTAGTTATAAAACAATACAAACTAATAACAGTTTTGGTCTGAATAATTAATCTTCACATGCTAAACTATATATATTGGGAGTCGGGCTAGTGCTGTGAGTTAGGGTTATCACTCTATAGAGTTTTCGTCACAAACTGACTTCAACTATAATACAAAACGGTTAGGGTTAGGTATTAACAGTTTGTTATAACTTGTGGCCTGTGTGCCATGTTAATGTATAACGTAATGATACCGCCAATTAGAGAACAGTGAATTACCGGTCGGTCCAACGACACATAAAACCCGTACGAGCAGTCTAGAGTACTTATCGGTCCTGCTTACCATCCAGCCCAGCCTGTTAACTTCAGAACACCAATCTCAACCTCTGCGATGTGAATCATTTATTTCAAACATACTGGGTTTATATACCAGCCAGACAGGCCACATTGTACCATAAAATAGGAAACAACATTTGTACAAGATTTAGTTAAAATTGGCTGTGGATTTGGGAGGTAGTAATCGGTAAACAGAGCATAACTCAAGAATGGTAAATCGTATAATAATAGTTCATAGATCAAAATAAAGCTTATGATAAGAGGAACACGAATATGAGTAGTTTAGTCATTTAACAATTATACGATAAAAATATACGTATAGTATTGATCCATAAATGGGTCCCAAAAGTTACCACTCTTTATTCTCATCGGGATATAACACAGACTGGAATTTTGAGTTAGGTTTACGAAATTAGAGTCAGGGTTTTCAAAGTGAACTGATATCAGCTATAATGCAATGCTTTACCACCCTTCTGTTTACAAACTCAATAAACTTAGGGTTGACATTTAGAGTAAGTGTAAGAAAGCGAGAATATTATCTAGCTTCATTACTCATTGAACCACATAAAGTACTTTAACACTCGATCTGCCTTAGGGGCAGGTATGCTGTGTCGTTTATCCTAAGACCGATCTAAAATTCACTTTTTGCTTGCACAATAGATATTTTTATTGGTTCCAAGCATCTTAGGAACCGAAAATTGTCAGTTTTTACTTGGATAATATTAAAATACATATTATCTTCCATTGCACTTTAAAATGCGTGCGTCATCTTGGTTTTGATTGGTTAACTCAAGGCTGTCGGTGCACTTTACTTTTACCACATAATTATTCTACTGATAAATATTCTCTAGTGCTTATACATTTCATATTCCGACTACTACTACTACCATTAAAACTTCTCACCGTACAATGTTGTATGTCCCAGTTTGTTGATTGGTTGATTAGTTTATACTTATATCCGATCATAATAAAAGTATAATTTAATTATTTATTAAGAGATGTTTTTCCTGATTGTACTTATAATAATTATGATTTACTGTTTATACTTCAGTTTGTATGAGTAAAAGAGAAATTTCCTGCTTTGATTGTTTAAAAGTATTTTTGTTTAGGGGTTTTTATTGTTAAGAATAAAACAAAAATATATAATTTAGAAATGAATTAGATTTCTCAATCAAGTTAGATGACTGATTGTTTTTTTATCATTCATTATTATTACCATTATTATTGTGAATAATGTTTAATTTTAGTGATTGGTGGACAAATCAGTTTGTTTCTGCTGTCTACTTTTCTTCCTTGCATCAACAAGGCGGTATTGTTCCATTGTAATAAGTAGCCGGTAGAAAGAAATATGTTGCATTCCTAGCAAACATCTGTATCAGTGTTTAGCTCGTCATAATCTTAATGAATCTGTCGTGTTTCAAGAAATTTCAGTTATTCACGATTTTACTATTGTAACATGCAGTTTCAATCATTGGTTTTCAAATTAAATCAACTCATTCACTAAGTATAAGGTTATGAGGCACACTCCTAGTGTTAATGATACTACTATCTGGTTGCCTAGACTGAAATAGGTGGAGCAAGGTTCGAACCTGTAGCTTAATGGCTGAAAGTCGAACATTTTAACCACTAAGCCACCACTCGGCAATTTTAATCAAGTGAACATGTCAATCAGTCATTAGTAAGGTAGAACTTGGCGTGTACGTCCGTCGGCTCAAGTTGAAAAGGCATCAGCAATGCTATATGTAATTATCGAGACAAATGCCAGAGTAGTAGAGGTAGTAATAGTATCAATGTTAGTAGAAAAAGGTTAGATGTAGACAACATGATCTGAGAAAAAAAGTGATTTGTGGAATAAAAAGTATGAGACCATTTTAAAACTCAAGATCTAAAGGAAGACAAAGAGTGAATAAATCCATCCCAGTGCAACTAATTCGGAGTTATGTTAACCAACACCTACAATCAATGATTACAATAATCATGCGGACCCTACAATGGGGTAGTCTGCACCTACCAACGCGGCCCAAGTGAACTGTTAATAACTTCATAGACTTGTGCTACGCGTTGGTTTGGCCTCACCCGGCCTTCTTCTTATACCACCAAACATTGCGCTTTAAAGTGAGCGGAATCATATGACAATGCAATGCAATGGAATGCAATAAATTCTTGCTATCTCAAAGTCTTTGTAACGTGTGATTCTTGTATACTTTTCATAGCCAAAGAGTTATATTCATACGTTATTTTGATTATTTTGATTGTTCTAAGTTTCATCCGCACATTCAAAAGTTTAATCTCTGAGGCGAAATTTTCATTGAAAGGAATTAGTTTTCATAGTTTTTTATATATTTATTAACATTGAAAAGATTTTTAACAAATTTATACCCTCTGTATGTTGACATCTACATTTAAGAACCTCTCAATGTTTTATACTTCTAGATGTCGAATTGGATGCCAGCGCTTTAACAGCAGAGGCTCGTCGTCAATTAGCCAAATCAGCTGCTACGTTTGGTTTGCATCCATCCGATTTTTTGCGTCTTTTGGACGCTGACCAACAATTGGAGGTTGAATTACGGTTAGCCAAAGCTTTAGAAGAGGAGAAATTGCAGTTATCTGTAAGTTTTCATGTCCTAAAGTGACCAATATGTGGAAGCCGAAAACAATGGAAATTACTGTTATATACGTGCATTACTGCATCATTCTCTATATGAAGCGGTGGTTTATTTAACAAAACTGTTAACTTTTAACCTCTCAGTCTCATGGTTGAACTTCAGTCCATCTAATTTTATTTGCACAGTTGTAAATCTTCGCTAATGTTTATGCATAAATCGGTACTTTTTATTGAACTGTATAACTTGACAACATAGTGGACTTTGTTCAATGTTAAATAATCCAAGTTTGACATAATGGCTGACATTCAACGTTGAGGTGTACATTCAACCTTTATGAAAGAAGAATCCTCAGAGAGTCAATGAGTTATTCCAAATGGGGAATTAGATAACACTATATATGTACTGTATGCTTAAAAACGTTTTAGAAACCAAAGGTGAAATAATCTGTGATTCACTGAATAAACCTTTCAGAAAATATTAAGCGTATGCTTCAGATGTTTGTAGAAGAGTCTCATTCATATTTTACTGTTATATTGATACTCTATATATGTTTAATCAAAGTTATTATGTTACTGTAACAGCTAGGTTTATATACATGTACATAATTTTTCCTTCTGTCTTTCATTGTCTACATACAGGGTCGTAAATCTAGACGTTCTAGACGTTTATTAAGAGAACGTCGAGCTCAGGAGAAATTCCCCCGGTTACTGACCACAAAGTGCGTGAGTAACTAACTACCTGTACTTATGTAGATAAATATCGAATGTAGATATATTCATTTTATTTATTCTATGCTAACAGAACTGATATTGGTCTGTCGAACAATGCATCATCTTGGCAAAATTCTGATATATGTGTGTTGTACATCAAAAAAATTTAAATGATTGGACAGGTTTGGGAATAATAAATGTTTGATTTTCATTCTACCTTCAAGGTGTATATAGTTGTGCTTTATACTGATTAAATTAATGTCTCGAATTTTGAAGGTAACCAAATAACTTAAAGGTCTAATTATGCTTTATTTTGTTTGATGAGTGTGTAGTGATGCACGTTGTGACGCAGTAGTGCAATGAAACACTGTATTCAATGTCCTATGCTTAGAGAAAATCAGTGGCATTTCAACTATTTCTTAAAAATATACTTAATATTATAAGGTACTTGACAGCGTCAATCCAGTTTCGTCTCTAAATACAGACAGATATCTCGTTGTTTAGATCCTTGGGATAATCATAATACATAGTTGCAGACGTTGAGTGAAACTATCAAAAAGCGGTCACAACGACTCAATTGTACCCATTTTCTCTACCTTCCTTCAAAAATCTTGAACTTGGATTCATTTTTCTGCTTTTTATTCTTCATTCTTACTCGTTCTAATTGAATTATGTATTTATTGTGTCCACTTTTTCATTCTTTGCTTTTCATCTTGTTATTTTCCTCTTGTGATAATGTATGGTGTGATAAGACAAGTAGCTCATAATCGTTACTTTCTCCACTAACAATCCGTATTGCTTGTGAGTTTGAATGCTGTGCTCGGGCATCTAAACTGAGACAGGTGGTTTTCATAAAGAATCACTCCCCAAATCTTCAACTTAAAGTTCCTTTCCGTATGTTAGTGGGAATACATTAGTAGGTGCAATCTCATGGTAGCCAGTGACCAGTATAGGTTCATATTCCATTCGTTCCCTTAGGATCCTAATGCTGATATGCACCATTGGTTAGGACTCCTTTAGGTAGATGAACGCTTTTTGTCCACAAAGTGTAATTCACTTAGACTTATATACATCCATCTCAAGCTAGGCGTTTATTTTAAGTGGATTTTGACATATTGATATTTTAACTCTTATTTGGTTCATCAGTTGTAACATTGGCTTTAACTATATGTGTATATATCATGAAATCATCGTCGATATATAAAAAAACATGCCTCTATCGTATTTGCTTAATAAAAAGGAATTCGACTACAATATTTTATTTTAATCCTGTATTACTCAACTAGACTCATGTTTACATATACGCGTACATATAGAATAAGCTGTTGTGTAACTGTATTAAACTTGATACATGAGTTAATCTTTTGAGTTTTAGGCTTATCTGAAATTTATTGGATAGTACGCTAGTTATAAGAAATTAATCATTATTCTTTGAATATTATTCTATTTCGTAACTTGATGACTTGACTAAATTTATTCTATGCTAATCAAGTTCAATATAAAGATTATATTCATTTGGAAAAAATAGTTTGGGTTGAAATCGTTAGTATTTTATTGTTTCAGTGCGAATTTGCTGAAGAGAATTAGCTGATCATAACTAGTTTAGACGACCAGACAAAAATGTCTTTCACAGCATATAATGATGACTGTTTTTCAAGTTGAAAGAAACAGATTGTGCTTATTCAGTGAATTAGAGCCGGAAAGTTTGTACTGTTTTAAATACAACTTAAACTGATAATCGATAGCTTCATGGACTGATATTATATCTTTATCTAGTTGCTCCTAGTCTCCTTTCAACACATTCCGCATAGCATGTAATTACTGACGAGTCATTGAATTTTCTGTTAATAATAATATTCTTTTTTCTACTTTGATCATCGCACATATGTTCCAAGCTCTATGTTGATTATGACTGAGCAGAACTAGTTTTTTTTTAATAAATTTTCATCTGAAATAGTCATTGTAGCCTTAGGTACAGATATTTACAACCAATGTGATCATTGTACCATAGTATCTTTTTTTAAATACTTCCTTAGATTGATAATTATTTTCAATTTATTATAGTTGTTAATTTTATTTGTTGTTTTTATATTTGGACGTGAAAAAATAGGATTGGTCTTTTAAATGGACAACCGATATCCAGGTAAATAATTGTTTTGTTCTTTACAAAGTTTAAACGTATATTTTATACTACTTGGATCAATATATGAGGCGTACTAGCTGATTATTTTGTTATTCTAGAGACAGTTGTTTATTGATTAAGGTGTTCAACTTTCGACTATTAAGTCGCAGGTTCGTACAGCCCTCCACCTTCTTCGATTTAGGTAACTAAGTAATATCTCTAGCCGTCACACTTAGCTTTAAGCCAAGTACATAGATATGTATCGGGTAAATGAGTTAATAACGAATGTGTTTAATGAAACTTTGACTTAGTGGTTAAGGCGTTCGCTTTTCAACCACTGATTGCAAGTTTGAATCCCGATACATTTACTCCAGTTTAGGCAGACGGATGGTATCATTAATTCTCACATAGTGTGACTCGTAGGCTGTATACACAGATCTTTACTTGGCAAATAAATTTTGTGATGACAAAAACAAATCTCTTCCATTGAGTCACACTCATAACCTAAAGACTTTGTTGCACACCGATTCTTTCAAAAGTAGTTCTGACTCTGTCGGATAAATCCTCAGCGTCAGCCAACTAATGTCATGGTGGATTTCTTCGAAGGGTTGATTATATATGGTATAAAACTTGAATGAGTTATGCTGAATTTGAGCGTAGTCCACTGAGTAAGGAGAGCTAATCAATCGATGAGGTCGATAATTATCATTCCAGCTGTATTAAGAAGTTGGCAGACTTTTATTCATTCCAAGGCCACATGAATATGAATGCTACATCTAATGGATAGCACATGCAAAATGCCGACATTTTTAATGAATATACTAACATAGATTATTTAATAATGAAATAAACGTTTGCTTAAGCAATCATTAGCGTTAACAGCGTCACTATGTTGATTAGATTATTACAACTATGAGCAGTTTTTCATTAGTGCGTTGGATTCTTAAGTCATTTTAGTTGTAATAAAGCATAATACTGACTTCAGCTGTTTGCTTATGATGTGAAATCTTAATTTTGATTTACTGAAATTCATATGCATCAAAACTCTTGTTCATAAATGTAAATGTATCCAAAAAAGGCAAATTTTTCTTGTAAAAATTTCCTCTTATTAGTATTGAGTTCATTCAAAAGCCACAGCATATAAATTTTCAATCAGGCTATTGTCCGCTCGTAACTGTTAGTTCCATCTAAAAATCATGGTCAGGTATCTCAGTGACAAAAAAGAGAAATATATCTGTTAACTAGCTAACGTGTGGTCAAACTGTCGTCAAAGATCATTATTGAGTCCTAGTATCTCGTGACTGTATTCTCGAGCAGATTTAAGCAGGATTATTTGTATGCTTAGTGTTTAGATTAAGGATATTTTACCCATTTTTTAAGACTTAAAACCATAATTTTAGTCGTTTTTAAAGTTGTGTTAAAGGTTTCAATTGCTTGGATCGACTCTAGTGATCAATATTTTCCTCCCTTTTATATATAATCTGTTGATTATCCATCTCTTCTTGACTTGCTAGACAATTTTTTGTTTGGTTATGTTACCCTGTCTTTTGTATGATATATGTTATGTAGTAAGTGATTATTGTTCCGCTGCTGAGGTATCCATTTAGATACATCTGTCCTGTACACCGTTAACTTTCCAGGTGCTTACAAAACATGTTAGACGTAGGCATCTCTGTGAAAATGATGAGATGATTTGACTTCTTGTTGAACGAGATAGTAGGTCTTAACTGGTTGAATAGATGGAAACATGAGATGATAATCGAATAGCATTAGAGAAAAAGGCATAAGACAAATTAAACAAATTCCAGAAGAATATGACGGAGCGTTGTCAGCTTCATGACCAGTTGAGGTCGTAGGGATATTGGAGGTGGCTGGCGGCCTTATTGACAGATTAGAGGTAACCAAACCACGTGTCATATTTTGTTAAACCACTCTTTAAAATGCTTCTTTCTCAACCGCTTTTATGTATATTTCGAAGTGGTCGTGCGAGCCTTAAATTGTCTATCTCTATACTTTAGTATCTACTCTGTATTTACATAATAACAGAATCTAACTTGAAAATTTATTTTCTTACTTCCAGAAGAACTGTCTACTTATCTGCTAGTTCGTCAGATTCTGGTGATTATCCATCGGATGTGGAGGATCAAGATTTTTCAGGTATTGTTTACGGAAGTCCTACTTCAAAAGCAGCCACTATTCGTGCTCAGAGGGCTCGTGCTAAACCAATTCTTTCAAATGCTCGTGGACCTGCTATTCTTATTGGTGGGATGACATCGATAAGTCTATGTCGTCGGAACAATAAACAATCAGGTCACAGTATTAGTTCAAAATACCGTTCAAAATCTGGTCGTACTTCAAGCAGCAGCGGAGAAAGCGTCCGAGGCCACCGTTCCAGTTCATCTGATGTATGTCTAGTGATGTATTTTTTTACTTGAAAGTTACTTCTTTTCTCAATCCATAAGTAATAAATTCGAGTGTAGTCACTAACTTTCGATATTTTAGCTACTTATTAAACTCTTCTCACTAATTCTGCCACTACTGAAGATAAAACTGGCTAAAATAACGACTCGATTTCGTAAGTCTACTTGTCAGTTGTCTGAATAAAGTCTAACTACTGGATGATACAGGTTTGAATCTTACAAAGCACCTTAGTTCCTTCATGAATTGCTAGCACTCCTAGTTGATGAGTGCCAAAAGGTTCAACTGGATTATTGAATACAATTTAGGTGTGTTTCAAATGTATCTTTTATTCCTAGCGGTTCACATTCTGCCATATTACATGTTCTCATTCTTTCAAATGGATGACAGTAAACCATATATTGTACTTTGTCCTATCCGACTTAATTTAAAAGCTAATATATTTACCTTCAAAGAAGCTCGTCAAATGGAGAATTGTCTTTAATTGAAAAAACTCCCTAGTCATCAGATGATGATGACCTAGCAAGTTTATATTGCTGTACATTTATTTTTAATCAGAATCATATTGAGTGAAGTTGACTATATTCATTACTGTTAGTTTTATAAACATGATCATTGTTTAAATATATAAGTATTCATTCTGCTTTGTATTAAAGTCCAATTCGGTTATGATATACACTTCCTCTATAATATATCAAGTTTATTATGTAAACGAAAAAACTGAAATGGGTAGAGTGTTTTAATTACCAAACCGAATATGCTAGTGCACTAAATCATTGGTTTATCGATACAATCGTCCTTGTGATCTAGACAGTTATATGTATTCTTAAACCCTAACTAAATAATAGATAACCGATGGCATGGCCCGTTTACAATTTTATACCTGTCATTTGACCTTAAACTGGCTTGTAATATTTTTATGTTCGCCTAGCCGATTACTTTCCTCTGGAATTTGCTTTCATTTGTACTGACGGAACATCGTATTCTTTATCCTGTAGGTTGTACATGATAAGTATACCAATGTTATAAATGTCGTATTTCATTTTTTTAGCGATCTTACTCCAATCGAGGATCACGTAGTGGATTTCGTCGCCCTAAACACTCCCGTGTAGAATACATCACTACATTTGGTGATAATGAAGACAATAATGATGATAAACGAAATATTAGTGGGAGTTCACGATTTGGTTCAAATAAACAAACATTGCTATCTGATCGAAATGGAGGTGGATCATCTGGTTCATTAGATTCTAAACCGCCTGGATCAGCTGCATCTGCTGTCGCAGCTTCTGTTGTTTCAAAGCTACTCAGTTCAACATCACAAACATCAGTAGTTAAGAGTAAAAGTAGTTTTGTCAGTGCATCTGGTTCAAAATCCACAAGAACTGAATCTCGCATACGGTAAAGTTATTGTTGTCCATGGATGAAGTTTATTATAGGGTAGTTTTTTATTTATTAATTGTGATTATGTTATTAATTTGTTGTCAGAACAGTGTAAATACTCAAGTATTTACCACTCAAAAAATGCAATCCATAAATAGAAGTAATAATATTTTAAGGAAAAGAAAAAGGAATCACCATTGACCCTTTCTGAGCCATACCTGAAAACAACCACTAAGTTACTCAATCTTGAGGACCTCGAATGGGAATTCATGATGAACTGTGATAGTTGTCAACGCTATATTAGCTATCATTTATACTACAGCACCATGTCATAAACTGACTATCCACCTTCTCCACAAAGTCTCGAAGTCAACAATAAATGCGCAACGTAGGAGCCATTGAGATGAAATTCGTAAAGCATGACTAAGCCATTGATGTCTTTGTTTCAAAACAGCGGGATTAATTGAATTATCATTACTATGCCCAAATACACTATTGGACCTCAAAGTATTCATAATAAACCTTTTATCAAACCAGTAAGTGATTTCAGTCGTTTCATAATCGGGTTTACGTTATGTGATTCATATTATATCTTTTTTCCAGGTCCTCTCCTAGTTTTAGTGAACGAAGAAGACCCCTGCAATCGAGAAGTCGCTACCGCCGTTCCACCTCTCGATCTAGTAGTCGGCGATCACGCAGTTCTCGTGGTAGCAGGAGCCGTAGGAGATATCATAGTCGAACGCGGAATAGTAATAGTAGCAGAAGTTATCGTAGTTCTTACCGGAGGTACAAACGTAGTCCAAATCGATACCGCTCAAGGCATAGGTCCTCTTCATCAAGAAGATCGTACTCTAGTTCCAGTACTTCAACCGACAACCGAAAATCTAACTATGATCGGTTAGTTTACCTCTTTTTAGACTGTTCTTTTGATTGTTACGTTATAAAAGTTTATCAGTTCATAATTATAATCCTTATCAACTTTTGTTTTACGTCTCTTAAGTCTGATGTTGGAATAATCTTATTTATTCACGGCTCCTTAAGTGGTGTTTGACGGCTCTAACTATCAACTTTTTAATACATATGCACTAACTATACAATTTAAATCGTTACCATATAATTCATAAGTCAAAGGACAGTTATGTTCTATGGTGTTGTGGAGGTTGTTGAATTTAAGGTTTCACACCATCGACTGATTTTGGGTCCGATCTTTGGTGGGGTCATAAATGAACAATGCTGAGGGGTCTCATACTCGAACGACGGGATATTTTTCCAGTGCTTCTTGGTTTTCAGTAGTTGTCTAACATAGTTTAATTCGTTATGTCAAGCTTAGAAGAACAATTATGTATTTTTTAGCACTATTTTTTGTTCTGTGGGATGAATGAGTAATGTTGAGATTAGACATACAGTGTACGTAGCAAATTGGTTGATGATGTCGTAAATGTTCGTCAACTGAGGTGGTTTGTATGTGTTAAGTATGTCTAACCACCCCTGTCATCTACGAGCGATATTTGGTAGTTCAGAAGTTTGCTAAAAGAAAGTTGTCGGCGGCCAAACCAAGACATAGTGTCACTCTTTAATGTCACTGACTGTTGATCTAAGCCATGTAGGTAGATACAAACTTTCCGATTGGAGGCTGGTTGATAACAGCGACCAATTAGTGGAGTATACTTTCATAAATACCTTTCAATCCAGTCTTTTTGGAGCATATTGCTAAGGTTTAGTATTTCTTTTGATGAAAGTTTCTACATCATTTCGACCTGTTTTGTTGTATTTTATATGGTTGTGCTAATATGGTATGGGAATTTGATCCAAAACATATCTTTTCCAGACCTTATGTTGATTATGTCTGTCTATTCATTTTCTTGTCTAATCATCTTTTATAATGTTTGAAACTTAAGGGGCTCTTCCCATTTCATGATTTTGTATATATTTCCTTGAAAAGTACTGTTTTTTCATACTTTTATGTATGCTGTTGTCCCAAAGGATTAGATTTAGTATTCTATCGTTTGTGCTATTTTTTAATAGTTTTGTGTTTCCTAAAGAATTGAAATAGAGACAGATATTTAGTATCAGTCTATGTGATATACTCAATACAAACTTCCAAATACAGTTATTTACTACTACTGCTGTTATTTCTCTGAAAAATGGCGTGAATATATCCACTCTTTATCTTTCAAATCCTCAGAAATATTGTTTTATTTTTACAGTTTTCGTCGTCAATTGACCTTAGTTAGAAAAAGACCATTGACAACCAGGAAGCGCTGGGCACATATTTCATCCTTGTATTGGTGGGACTCAGCTGTTTGCATCCATGGCCTCGCTGGGCTTCAAACCCTAAGACCTTCGGATTTCGCTATGAATGTTTAACGTTTAGGTTGTCAACCTGCATTAAATAGTGTATCTGTCTAACCTCAATGAATTCTCGATATTGCATAATGATCTTCCTACGTCATCGGTAGGTAGGTTTCTTATACCTGATATGGTTGAACTCTGCTGGTCACAGCTCACAAGAACTCGAGGTTATTATACCACCCAAAATAAGTTACTGTAAACTTACGTTTATTTCACGATCTATACCTTACAACAACAAAATTTAATCCTCATTTTAATTTTACATCGTGTTTATTTGTTTTTGCCCTGTTGCTGTAGGGTTAGTGCAAATCCGTCTACTAGATCCTTCAATCAAAATCCACCGTATGAACAAGACGCCGTTATTCAACCAAACGTTCAAAAACAACCTTCACCTTTAGTACGCAAGCGATATTATCGTCCTGAGTTAGAATCTGCCGATGAATTGGAATTATCAGACGAGGAACAAAATGATACTAAAAAAGAATCATCAAAGTCTTCAGATGGGAATTCTGGAAAACAATTAACCTCAAGGTAATTTCAACTCGTAGATATATTTATGTATATGGAGCTGTTGCTCAATAGTTAAACTGTTTGATTTTGAGTCGCAGTTAATATAGACTAGATGAAATATGACTTGCAGTAGAATCCAGGACTCTCGTTTCGTCCTATTTGGGACTCGTAAGCTGGATGTGCTTGCATCCTTGAGTTGATGTTCACTCAAGGACTCGAACCCAGTACCTTTCTCTCCAAGCATCATCATTTTTATCCTGTTAGCTACTCACTTGTGCAACGGGTTTAAATCTTAATCTAATTTGGAATGCTTTGTGTTATCCTGTTGTTTATATGTGGAATTCCTTGATATAGCCATTATGACACAAATTAATATAGAATAGACTAAATCGGCTGGCAACGGATGTATCAAGGCAATCCGTGCAGGATCTTCATATCCAAACCAAGACTAGTCAAATTTCAGTCGGAATATCAACTACGGGATAATGTAATACCATTCCAAATTGAATGAAATTGCATGTTCAAAAGCCTACTCCGCCTAATTCGGTCCAGAAAACCAGGTAGCACCATTAGCCTTCATATTTAAAGTATGGCTCAAAACCAGTAAAATCATTCTATACACCTAGTAAATGAGGTTGATAAAAAAAATTCCAGTGTATTAGAATTTACTGAGATGCCAAATTTCTAAACAATAGATATTTATCTAATAGGTGATTATAGTAGTGCTTAGTTCTGCCTGACTTTGATTGTTGACTTATAAAATGAGTAATCAAGTGGAATTCGTATTTTTTTTCCGATTGATAAGTTACATTCACGTAAATGGCGGCATTAGTGATCAGAAAAGAAATACAGATCAATTCCAGTTATTATTTTCAGGTGAAGACTAGTCGGATGGTATTAGCACTATTGTTTTGACCAGGGATTAGAGGTGTTGGGTCGATCTATCGAATTGGCGCAGATCCATCTACTTCTTCGTTTCTTAAATATTCAGTTTTGAAATTATCTTTGTTCGAAAAATTATTTCGTTCTTCTTAGGTCTTATTGTATGTTCATACTACTTTTTTACTACTACTACTACTACTACTACTACTACTACTACTACTACTACTACTACTACTACTACTACTACTACTACTACTACTACTACTACTACTACTATTTCCAGTGTCTAGTCATCCATTTCTACTATTTCATATCACTGTTCTAATGTATTGTGACAACTTGGGCCGAAGCACGTGTGCCAGTATATCAGTCGCTTCTGTTTCCCTTGTCAATTTGTTTTAGCTAAAGCTTTTATACTACTTATAAGTAGTTCAATTATTAAACCAACAAACGTCACTCAATCGTTTATTGAGCTAGTCGAAGCTGTTCGCAGTTCATCTATGTACTAATATATAAATTCCTTAAAAATTGTATAGGTTTTGTTTTTGCATAATTAGGTTCTGTATAAAAAGCTTTCTTACTCAATAAATCGAAAAGGAATATCACACAAGCCATATATGATTAACAACCTTTCAATGAAGTAATGTTCCGTACGTATCATTTGAAAAATGTGTTTTGAGGAAATCTCAGTGGTTTTCTTGATGCTTATTATGTTCCCTAAATCAAATTGGTTGCATAAAGTTCATTTTGAGCTATTCTAATGGTCCATGGAAAATATTAACTGTAACTAGCAATGGAATATAAGACTAACGTCTCGTCCTCTTTCTGGACTTCTCAACTGGATATACCTTCATCCTGGTATTAATATTCACTCTGATTTTATAATAGTTTGAATTATCACTTTTTCGATAGATTTTTTTACAGCAACGCTGTTGTCATTATTCAACTGGGTATTTTCCGTGAATTTCCTGAACTAACATCATAGTTTTGAAGATTTGTCAGGTCATTTTTTTTAATTCAAATTATTTTTTCAATCTGTCATTTGTTTTGAAGAAGAGAAGAATAACAATCATTATTTTTAAAACGTTCTAGAGGACGGAATTTTAAACATTTCTTATGGAACTTATTGATATTCGATCTAATTCTAACAGTTGTTATTGACGAAATCGTCTCTGTTCAGTTATCTGTGTCCAGTTTGGCTACAGTTTCATTAAACACTAAGGTGTTAGTAATTAATTTATTGATGAAATTCTAAACTTTCCTTTTTTTTCTTTGGGTGAAATAACGACTAAATTAACATTATCGTTAGGCTGTCAAACTTTCAAACTGCCTCAGTAAATGATTTGTATTACGTAACTACGAAAATCTTATATTTTAAAAAATCAATGCTAATAAACAATTATTCCCACCAAATGATCTTACAAAATATTCATTGTATTATAGTTTTATGACTGAAATTCAGATATTTCTCTCTAAATGCAGAAAATGATTCGACAAAACGAGAATTAATTTGCTTAATCCAAACCACTGCTTTCTTCTTTATAGGGCACGAAGGTTCGTTGCGTCACTTACAGTCAACAATGATATCAAAACACAAATTTTACACGCAATGTTTATGCATGAAAACGACACCACATAATAATAGTAAATCATATCACAAATAGGGAAATATTTCAATGATGCTCCTTGGACAGTATATAGCCGAATGTTTCTCTGATACAAAATAACGTACTAGGTAGTAAAAAAGGTGGTTACTAAATATAATTATTAAATACCTGACAATCGGTAAAACGGACTGTGTGAGATTCAATTCAAATTGCAAATATTTCCATCAGACAACCAAACAACATTAACAGGCAATTACTCCATACTGTAACCTTGATTTTTACTGAGGAAGACGTTATTGTCAGTGGTCTGACATCACAAAATAACAAACGGTATATTAAAGGCAAATCTTAATTAAAGTTAACTAGTAAAGATTTATTCAAAGAAGACTGAGAAGTGTCAAAATATGGCTGTACATGTACAGAAAAATGAGAGACAGAAATTCATTAAAAAGAATTGCACTGCTGTCAAAAGAAACACTGGAAGCATTTTCAGGGCATCCATTCTGTTACATACGGTATACTAGGATCCTTAAAAAGTTATTCTTATTTGCTAATCAATTGACACGTGATTCTAGTGTTTTCATGTACTTTAAACAATCCCTTAATTTTGTTCGATTTTCTTTGTTCATATTTTACGAGTTTACATAATTACAATTTATAGATGATTGTATACTGTTCACTTAAACTTAATTCTGATCGATAACGTTTACTTAATATAAACCGCCTACAACAGGCGATATAATTTTTCACACGTGGTAAGCGATCGATTGCTTGTAGCTTAGTCTCTATTGATTGAAGAAAATTTCTTTTTTTTGTCATTCGGATAGCGTTAAATTATGTCTATAAAGTAGTAGTGCCTTGTAGATGTTTTGATGTAAGCGATAGTAGCTAAACACTCGTATTTATTCGTTCTTGATTTTTCTCTAGAGTTGGTGTATTATATATAATCACAATTTTGTCTCCATATTTTGTTGCATACAGACCATAGAAGAATTAGAACCTACTGCAGCAACACTCGGTTCAATATTGTTATTGAACACACGAAATATAAGGATTATAGTGTCTTGACTTTTTCCAAAGTAAAAATAGACTTTTTTTCAGCCAAATCAACTTCATACCTCTCATGAAATATATAAGTTAGAAGTCTTTTCGTACTATTCACCTTCCTATTATCTTAATTTTGTTATTTCAGAGTTGTTTTTTCATCATATTTATTCACAGTTATCATTACCAAGGTTAAACCTAATACTTTGGAATGGATTGAGCAATGTATAGATTGTTAGTAATAAAAATAATGATATATATGTAGTATGCCAATGAGTAGAAAATTGAATTTGTGATGTTTCGCTATTAAGCGTAAGTCACTTCTTCCGAGAATAAACAAACAAATAAGGAATTATTTTAGTACAAGAAAAAATTATCAAAATGGGTTGGATTACTTCGGTGTTACGTCATTTTGTTGAAAGTAATTTTGTGGGTGATGGATGGTAAAGCTTTCTTTTCTATTCAGAGTAGTAGGACTTAGAAAGCTTCAGCTACTCATCTTTCTTTATATTTAGAATATTTTTTTGTATTTTTATCATCGGTTTGATGGTTGTTAGAAATTGGATGCACTGCTATTGTTGATTTAACGTGGAGGTTTTCAAGTTCTACGGGATTATTAACAGAATATTTTTTGTCTATAGGATATATACCTTTTGATTCGATTCAGAAATTTAATTTTCTACTCATCTGGATATTACCAGTACTTATTAGTAGTAGTATATTACGTTTGATCGGTATTAAAAAAGTTATTTTTCACTTATATATACAATAACATTTTAAGAATTTTCATTTACTTAATTTCTAATTGTTAAGTGTGTGCATTGTAAAAACAGTAGATATCATACACCAGTGTATTGGTTACAGGTAATTTAATGAACCTTCATATAGTCATTCATTTCACGGTTACAGACTATGTTTCTAGGTTTCGTTTTTCGTAAAATGTCGTTGGCTATCTTTAAAAACTCACGATTTTTTTATATTTTTGGTTTTCGTCTCATTTTTTAAACAGGAGGTCGGATTCAAATTCATATGGAAATTTCGCGGGTAAGATGACGTCTCAACAATTGGTCACGGGTGGTCCTAGTCCAAGCCATGATTTAAAAGTCAGTTAATTTTCATCACCTCGCACCCATCCAACTTTCTAACATTCTGACTTACATGAACTTCGTGGAATTATTTTCTGTGGATATCCATATACAGTATAATTTTCCAATTTATTGTGAACCAATGATTTTGATGGTTGAAACACTTGGCTTTCAGCCAGCAGGTTGCATGTTTGAATGTCGTTCTATCTAATTCGGTTTATATAATCGAGTAGTATTACTAGATTTGATCAGAACATTATGATTCAAAGCCGGATAGATGAACCTGTACTTGGCAAATAAGTTGCCGACATATTAGGATATGACCAACACTACTCTGAATAGTATTTATCTGAGTAGATTTGTATACTTTCATGATTTATTCTCCATTTAAATGCATTTTACAGACGAACTACCTTAGTTTACTATCACATAGTATTGATTGTGGGATTATTCTACTGAATAAAATCATATTTGATGGGGCAAAACATTATTTCTAACAGAACATATCATATAGTGTGTTCCAGTATAAACTACTATACCGAATGCTTTTTCTTGTTTTGCTAAGATGAACAGTTCATCGGAGTCAGTTAACTATGTGAATCCAGAAAGGCTAACAGTACATTTATGTATGCAAATCAGGAATTCTAATGCATTCATTGATGATATATGAGGTTTTAAATCTTCGTCGACTCAGAGGATTGAGATATGTGTTAAGTTTAACTAATCACCCCTTACCTCTTCGAGTAATGCTTAGTAGTTCAGAAGTACATCGAAAAAAAGAAAGGGGTGACCAACCCAAGACATGGTGCCAGTCCACGAAGTCATTGACTGTTGGTTTTAACCGTGTAGGTAGATACAAACTTTCTGGTTGAAGTCCGCTTGGTAACAACGATCAATTGGTAAAGTATAACTTCATATGTGCCTTTCGATCTAGTCTTTTCGGAGCATATTTCTAAGTTTTAGTATTTCTTTTTATGAAAGTTTCTACAGTCCAACCTGTTTTATTGTATTTCATATGGTTGTGCTAATATGGTATGGGAATTTGATCCAAGACATATTTTTTCCATGCCATGTTGTGATGGTAACAGTCTGTCTGTCATTTAAGCTAAAATAACTGAAAATTCATAAAACATTCCTCAAAAAATTCTATCTCTTATACCACAGGGTTCTGTGATCTATTAAAATTAATCTATTTTTAGTATGCTATGTTTGTAGATTCCAATAATCTCTTCCTATTTTTAAATAAATATTAATCACAATTAAGCATGCTACCTTTAACGATATTCCACGCATAAAGGTTTAAAGATTATCACTATTTTCAATGTTAACTTATCGAGTCTGTTCATCCAAACAATATAATGTTATTTCTTGCTGAAATTCTCTTTTCAAAGAAACTGTACTCTTATATATAATGCTTTGTTTTTTCTCTCACCTTATTTGTTGTTTCAATATTCCCTTGACTTTTTAGACTCCTGGGGTTGTTGGCTCGACAGTCCGTTCTCTTATGCCACAAGAATTATTGAAACGTCGTGTTCAGTCTCAGCTTACTAAAGCCTGTAAGTTAGCGTTGTTTCTTATGTGATTTATGATAGGGAGTTGTTTAAAATTTTGAATAGCTGAAGCTTATGCGATGTCAAATAGATTAAGGTGCTAGGTCCTTTGGAATCTTAGTTGCCACCTTAACGTGCTGGTCAATTTTGCCATATCATGATCACTCAGTCGAGATATTTTGAGCGAAACATTTGTTCTTTCAGTTCCTACCATGCCGGACAATTCAGGTGAAAAACTTCAAGTCTAGAAGCAGTAACTTAAAATTCTATGGCGAAGTCGTACTGGTGACTGTACAGAGATGTTTCCCTCAGACAACCAGCTTCTGCAGCTATACTGCCCTCTCATAATAAAAGAAAGAGGTTAGAAATAATCGGGTCTGGAAATGAAAAAACTCACCTTTCTCCACGAATTTTCACCAGCTTCACACAGTCGTCTCATAGCTTCTATGATCACGTTCCATTTAGTTATTTCTTCAACCCATACTGATGAATTTATGTCTCTGTTCACGTTGTTTTGGTAACTTCACATTTTATATTTGTTCAACTTTTCCCTATACATTATATGTGTACATATTTATGGTTAAGGCGTTCGACTTTCAGCCACTAAACTTCAAGTTCGAACTCCACTTCACCTACTTCAGTTTGGACAACTGGTTAGTACCATTAGGCTTCACACTCAAAGTGTGGCTCATACCCAAGTACTTGGCGAACAAGTTAATCCATCTGTATAAACAAATAAAATTATGTGTCCATCAATAAATTGTGTGAGATATGTGGGACAGTGGTTGTGTAAAATATAACCACTTGTTGTTATTTTCTATATTTTATCTTATTTATTTGAGCTTTCTGTTTATTTCTAATATTTTTTGATATCACAAACCAAACTAAGTTAGACATCTGTTGAAAGCCAGAAACCACTAGGCATCTATTTCGTCCTCATGTGGGACTCCTCAGCAGTGCGCGTCCACGACCGAAATCAAGGCCTTCACATCTTTTCCTAAACCCTTGACCATTAACCAGCATCCAACAGTCTACATGTCTAACTTCACACGATTTGCTATATTGCTCAACCATTTTCCAATGTCTATTTGGGAACTGTCTCATACCCGACGCTTCTGAACTTTATTGATCACGGCTTCTCACTAAATTTTCAGAATCGCCTGTTGAAACTAGTCACTAGTTAATGGATGTTAACTATCAGTGTAGAGGTTTGTGAAAATTATTGAATGTTACTGATATCACGAATCGAACCAAGTCGTAGATATGTATTACTGGGAAGTCCCATACTAGGACGAAACAAGCTGTTCAGTAATTCATAATTTTCAATAGATATCTAACCTAGGTCGATTCATGTTATCAATAACCTTCACAAACCTTTCCATTTATTATTATCACTAATTTTTATCTTATAATGATTTCTTGACGGTTCTTTCTGTCTAATTAATCTTTATCATAATAATTAATCATAGATATTTCTATGTTAGTATTCAAATTTGTATATCTAAATTTTGAGTAGGTCTAGAGGTTAAATCTATTGAAATTGACCTTTGTATAGACATTAAGGATAAGCATATTTTATTGTTCTAAATGAAATAGATTTTTTAAATACAAAATGAAAACACATTTCGTTACAGTATTCCGTAATTTTGTCTGTTAGATTTTAGTGGCTATTTATTTGACTAATTTTCATGTGTTTATATCTTTTCAATTGTTAGAATTTAATTGTTTTGTGTGCATGTTTACGTTTGTGTGTACATTGATACGATTTGCCTGTTATGATATGACACACATCATGATTACTCTACCTAATATCTGATTGTTGAGATCAGTGTGTAAGCACATAACTTACTTGATAGAATATGTTCTTGTAGTGTAATGAATAGATCTGCAGTTCATATATTAAGTATTTAGTGGTGACAATCATTTGGTTAAAAGTTCCCAACCCAACATCCGTTTGTGCTGTTGCGTCGAATATCAAGTGTGGTTTAAATCCTTTGTATTTTTATTACAGATTGTTTGTGGAGTTTGTTAAATTTCATAGTATACATCACGAACTTATCTTAGTTAGAAAACCGTTTAAACCCAGAAAGCAACTGATAGCTGTTTCATCTTGGTATGTGGGGCTCAATTGTGTTCTCTCATCACCTCACTGGAGGTCAAATTCAGGATATTCATGTTCGATGCCTAGTTGGGTCGTAAAAGTTCACTATCGAGTTCCCCATACTAAGATGAAACGGCTGTCAAGTCCTTTCTGGTTTTTAACGGTTTTCTAAGATTTTACTTTTTACTGCGTTAAACATAGTCTCTACTAATGATTAAAATAATGTTACTATTTGTATCCTGTGTAGTTACCAGTGAAAGTAGAAGAAAGGAGTCGTTCATCGCCTTTTTATTTTACTGAATATTTTAATATATTGTCTTTTCGTATTTTACTGACTGTTATCTTTTTTCTTCCTCAATTCCCAACTATCTTTTGCTTTCCCATTCCGTTATTCTCTTATATACAGTTACTTAGATTAATTTATATCCATACATCACTGATTTATGTTCCTTTCAGTAGTGTCTAATGTTTTAAGTAGTTGAATATCAGAGAAAAGGTCGTTGTTTGGTACTTCACTTCACCTACATCAGTTTTACTGCATATCCTTTCTAGAGACAATTTAACTAGTGTTAAACAAAGTGCATAAACTTGTGCTTCATAATGATTGTTTACGTTTTGCTGCAATCCCATGTACTACATACTACCTTACATTTTTGACTTTAAATCTACTAAGTATTGTTATGTCTAAACTATTATCATATTTTATTTTAATATTTCAGTCAATGCTGACAAAAAAGCCGAGTTAGAAAAACAAATCCAATTGGAACGAGAACGTCAGGTAAATGTTGCATTTACAACTGATTGATCACTCAGAAGACTGATCCTAGTGTTATGCTTGTCTAGTCCCTTAGCGCTGATCGAATTCTATCGGTCAACAGGTTCATTTTTTCTTGGTCAATGAGTTGTTTATCAAGATAACGGAAAAGGATAGGGTTCACTACTTTTAATCTGTTACCAAATCGTTGTTCAGTCTCACCTACTCACAACTACCTTTTAGCTTGATCATGTATTATTGTTATTTTTCATTTTACGGTCGAGAATATCTGTATGTAAACTACGTATGCTCGAAATATAATATTTGTTGTCACCTAATTCAACCACCGAACAAAGAATAGGGTTCTGACGATTGAACTAGTTGTTCACGATGCGGTACGATTGGATAATGGGAAGCTACTGTGTATGGAATGTCATTGTAATGACTTTTCATGGACAAACCTGTAAATACAATACATATTCATTTTTATATACTTATATTGTAATGAACGAAAACACAGGTGAGGACGACCAAATATATTTTAGCACAAAATTAGTTATCTGGTAAAATACGAAAACCATACGTTCAGTCCTTCATTTACAAAATGTCCATTAGTTGTCTCAGACTTTATTGTTCCTTCATTTCATACCGATTACTTTCTGTTCCCGTTCTCGTCTATTCGATCTTCGCAACCTTCTGTTGCCAGATTTCCCACTTTCGATCAGTGTTACATGCTACTTATATCTGTCGAAATAAGTAGCATACACTATAATATGAGTTTATTTCTTCATCCAAACTGTATTGAATGTGACATCGTCTATTTAAATAACTCTTTAACTTTTAGTATTTCTCTCTCGACCTTTTTATTTGAATTTTTGTTTTTATTCATAATTATTATTTTCTTTACTGTTATATTGTTATATCAGCAGTAGTAGTATATCTGTTGTCTTTTCAAACATTATTTACTTCTAGTTACTATTTTTTTTGTGGTTGTGCATCTATTTCCTCATTCTTCTCTCTTATGCTTACGTTCGTTTGGTATTGTGCTTGTGTATATTTATATAGTATTTTTCCGTAAATTATTATATTTTTGTATTAGGTTTTTATTCTTCTCTTGTTGTTGTTGAATACTTATCTTTGTTTTGCGTGTATCAATTATTCGAGTTGTTTGTTGCCGTCTTTTGTAATAGGATTAATAATAGTAGAATTTGTTGTTAACCAGTGGTTTCTTTTTTTGTTTGTATATAAGTGCGTGTAGTGGGGTTGTTTTACATGTTTCCTGTACAATTGAGACTAGTCATTCACACTCAACTTCATACTACAAGGCATATTATTATGATTATTGACCTTTGATCCCATGTCGCTTTCCTGAGAGAATATATATTTTTTTGTTGCCCAATATTGCTTTCTTTCCGCTCACACATGTATAGGCTAATTCGCTTCATATTTGTTCTCTGACAATTTATGTGCTGAGTCAATATTATTATTATTATTGTTATATGGTGATTACCCTGTTCTTTCTCTATATTAGTCACTAATTGTTTTTTTGTTTCTTGATTGTTTCTTTTTCTCAGTTATAGTGTAAACATGTTTACTCAGTTATTTATATTCTTTTTAATAGCTCTAATTAATAATTCACTAAAGTGAACATAGCAACATGAGATTTTATACATGAAAACACTTTACCATATATTTGATGCCAAATGCTTATATTAGTTTACTGGAGTTGTCTCAGTTTTAAAGTTATCAATCAGCAGATACACCTTACTCTGATGAGTATCAACTAGCATGAAATATAGGTCAAATACAATTTACTCCAACCATCTAACATCACTTAAACTAGTGTAATGACCATATTACACTTTGTTAATCGATAGAAGTTGATCAACACTGAAGAATACTATACAAGTATAACATTGGCCATCACATGCACACTACTCAGTGATCAATCAGTGCAAAATTAACACATATTTAACTGTTCTATAGTTATAAATAAAAAATAGACTGGCTAGTTTCTACTGTCACATCATCAACGCTTCCATTATAAGATTCTTGCTATCAAAAATCTATATTATATAGATTTATTAAGTCTACTTTTCCGTTCATTTTTCATAGAAATACAATATACTTAAAAAAACAGCACTATTGATGTGTTTTTATCCTAAATTCGAAGTGATCGTTTCGTTCATATGTTTGACAGTTTTTTTTAATACGTTGTTTGTATATTTTTCCTGGTTTTCCAGTATTCTTTTATCCTATTGTTACCAAAATTTGAATCGTTCATTAGTGTTAAATTATTCAACATCTCTTCAGTTGATGCTTCTTTTTTTATGAAGTTCGTGTTATTGTGTAATCGGATTCTTGTCTGTTAAGTTTTTTTTCCAAGTATCTACATGTAAATTTCTCACCTCTAAGACTGTATTTTTTTCTCTCACAATATCTAAACTCTTTGGAAATTCACTAGCAGAAAATTAAATTTAATAACCGGTTATGATCTAAATGATTTTAATTCATTTATCAAGTGGTTGGTCATACATGTAAAGTAGAAGAATATGGGCTTAAGACAATAATTCCTAAATATCAATCAATTTATAAGTATAAGTAAGATATTTCTCATACAAAAAATACAGTGAACAATGAGAAAAGAAGAAAGATTTCTGTCAAAATTATAAATGTACAAGTTATTGATATGTGTCAATTCTAATATTGGAATCTAAGTGTTATGACTTATGGCCCTGTTAACTATCACGTGACAAAGTTGCCAATCAGAACACCGACCTATATAACGTTGTCTCTGTACTAAACCAACGATGCGTTAATCAGCACTAGCAGCCTAGAGTCAACTATGAGTCCTTATTGGTCACAAATCAAGTGACTTGTGTGGCGCATATGTAATCGGTGCCCCTTTGTACCAATATTTATATGTCCACAAAACAATAACTTCTAAACTAACCCGGCCTGTTGATTCCAGAACACAAATATCAGCATCTACTGTATGAATCGTATATATAAACGGATCAGACTGCACCAAAATTAAAAAAATAACAGTTATACAAGATCAAGTCAAAAGTGGCTGTGAACGTGAGAGATTGTAACTAATAAATTAAGAATAACTTAAGAATGGTAAATCGTATAATAATAGTCAGTAGGTCAAATGAACGCTCATGGTAAAAGGAATATGAATATACATATAGTCTAGTTACTTAATAGTTATCTAGTCGGAATATATGTCATAATATTCCATAAATAATCGCTAGCAGTTACCATCCACTTATTTCTCGTTCACTTGAAATACAAAGCAGTAATTTGTTATTAAAGCAATTTAGTTTCTAGATTTCAATATTACACACTTGTTGTACACTGATTAAGTCTAATATTTCAGCTATTGATATCAAATTTTAACATTCTGTTTATTTCAATATAAATATGTTATACTCTTGAAAATTTTTGCAAATTGTTATTATTTCTCTATAGGCTCGAGAAGAAGGACTTCGTCGACAAGCTCGCCTTCTCAGACGTCAAGAAGAAAAACGCTTACGTGCTGAACGACGCGCTATGGCCATAGAGTTGGGATCAGTTCCTGGGAATTCTTCCGACTCATCATCTCATTCCTCTAGCTCGTCGGGTAGTAGTTATCACAACAGTAGCCGTGCTAGATCTAGACGATTTCAAGCTTCACCAGTTCGTCGACAATCATCAATGTATTCTTCTGGTAGTCGAAAATATTCTCCTCCTCCTCTTCATTCATCATACAGCCGACCTCGAATAGAGTCGGAACGAGGACTTTTAGGCAGTCCAAGTCGTGTTGTAGATGCTAGACTACCATCTCCGCCATCTAATACAAATCTATGTAAGTCTTTCAATAATTCATTGGATAATATACAAGGAAACTTATCAATTTGTTAGACAGTGGAATATACTCATCAAATACACAATAAATTTGTATCAACATAAAAATAACTAATTATGTTTTTTTCCCTCTATCCTCGAGTTCATTCAAGAAAAAAGAGGATATGTCAACCATGGGTTTTTTTTTCCATCAATACAAAAGAAAAATATCCAATTGTAATTGTCTTATAATTGTTTTCCCTAGAATACCATATTAGCAAGATAACAAATAATTTTAATCATCAATCATACTAGTGCTATAAATATGAAATAACTTTTGTTGTTGTGAAAGTCAATCGTTCATTTCTATAACTCATAATTCTTGATTATTTTAACAAGTGATCAACAGAGTAATTTGTTAGTTATATATACATTAATTCAATTAGATTATTTCTAACGATTCTGTTTGTATGGAAAGGATAATGCAAGAATGATTCACATCTAAACTACTCTAATACATTGAGACCGAAACTTGCATATAATATCAATTTATCTATATGTATAAACATCTCTCTATTCTTTTTTAACTTTGTCGTTGATGTGCTTTTAGAGATAACACTGAGATCATTCGAGAGGTCCTCGGAAAAATTCTTCGGCGTCTGGAAAAGGATTGAAAGTACTTCAAGTTGCCATTTATTAGAAGCTTTTTAGGAAATTCTACAAAACTAATGAATTGTGTGTCATATCTTGTTTGAATAATTTCCTATCTGGCCATTGATTTTAGCATGTTCACAGAAGCTCCTAGAAGAACATCAATGTCACTCATAAACCTATGAATATCCTTGGTTTTTGCACCTAGACACTATCCTTGAAAGCAAAGCTTCTTATATCTTACCATTTGTTTCGAATCTTAAGTGTAAAATATTTTTACGTTGAAATAATATGTCACATTCTTGTGTTAGATGTCGGTTGGAGAAATCATCAGGCAATTTTTAGCCTTTTTGATGAAAATAGGTAATTCTAAATTTATCGTAGGATTTTTTTGTAACATGTACGTGTTTTCGGATAAGTGAAACTACTATCTTTTTCCCGTTACTACATTTTTTCATCAGGTAATTTTCCCAGAGACACGCGTGTTCCCATTAATCGAATTCCCCGATCTAGTAATTCATTACTCGGTAGTCCTATTCAAAATTCTTATTCTACTTCAAGAGATCGTGGAAGTGTTTCCTCATCGTCATCTCGATTTATTGGGTCCAGGGAAGAACAGCGAAGTTACAGTTCCATGCGGCCTCACACCTCATTGCGTGGTGAATTAGCGAAAAGATCTGACCAATAATATCAATCATTGGTTAGTAGCTAGAATGTGAATATTCGTTTACATCTATTTAATATGTATTGTCTGTTTAATATTCTTTTCAGATTTTGGTTTCTGAATGGTTCGTTTGTTATGTTGGTTAAAAAAAGACAACTACTTGGGCTGTGTTCGGTCACGTTTGATCTTGGTGTAATGACACGAAAGGAATTTTAGGACCTCTTTTTCTCTAGTTCAACTAGTTATCAGTTCGCCTATATTGTCTGCAGGTCCGGTGATCTGGACTGAATGAGATACCATCTAGTGAGCTACGACCAAGATCTCAAAGCTTATTCGTCTTCTAGCTCCTTGTAACCTATTAGTCAATGAAAAGACAAAAATAAAATATAGACCAGTTCTCTATTGTACGCAATTTAGTCGTGATTTAAAACTCATGTAGTAATATACTTTAAATATCTGATCACATAGCAATACGGTTAAGGAGTTACAGTGTGTACGTAACTTGATCATAAGTGATACAAAACTCGAGTAACACGGGAATTAATTTATGAATAACAAACCTGGAATAATAAGACGTATGACAACGATTTATTAGTCTACCAAAAGCTTAGAAGTAAGCGAATGTAAATATATAATGCCCTTTCATATAAGTCTCTAAAGTTATACTTTCACATTAATCGTCCCATTATATCAACGTTTAAATCTAGATTACCTAATATTATATTTACTTTATAATGGACTTTGTTATATCAATAGTACTATTTCATCTACGTGTAGATTGTGTTGACATCATCTATAATCATGATCTTTAAATACTTCAAAATAATTGAAATTAATTGAATTAGCTGTAAAACCAATGTAAACAGTGAGTAGATGTTCAGTCATTGTATTTTACTATTTCAGAATTAGAATAATCACTTAAATACTGATGAAAATAGAGGAGGACGATGTTAAATGCTTGAAAATAGTCGGTAAGAAATAGCTAGGGGTATCTACACTCTTGGGAAAAATAATTCTCACTGTAGAATTTGAACCTGGTTTACCTAACTCTACAGTTTTAAACATTACTACTAAACTATTCGTACAGCAACTAACCAATTGTAAGATATTTGAATTTAATTTACCAACTTTAATCCGTTAGTGCCGATTGAATTCTATGATCAACAATTTGTGATATAGTCACGACACCGTATGAACTATTTTTGATGTTACGTGATTGGAGGTATTTGACAAGTAAAATTATTTGTATAGATTTATTCATTTCGATGAAGAGATTCTTTTCATCATTAACTATGACATCATTTAGTGAATCATTGAAAGTCGGGAAATTGGTTCGTTCACCCTAGTTTTAGCCTCTTCAATAATACATATCTGCGAACCAATTTAAAGTAAAGTCTGAATAGTCAGATTTGATGTTAAAAGTGATATTATCAACTTGAACTTCACCATTTTGCCTATTCTATATAATAAATCTATTGGTTACTTCCATTTTCAAGCACTTCCCCATATATTTTCAAAACTACTGAATATGTTTAAAGTAAGTAGTCTAATTTCAATTTTGAAAAGAACACCTGTATTATATACATATCCGACAAATCACGATATACAATTATAATTATTGGTCAAGCGCGTCTATATATATATACACCTTCGTTGTGTTTTACTTGACTTGTTATCTTCCATTAATCTTTCTAACTGAAATGATGAAAAAGTAATCGTTTTCTCTGACCACTAACAACCACCAGCCTATTTTTGTCTTAAGTATATATGGTGGTCAATCAGTGGTGATTATTTTGTGTTGGTGCATTCGTTTGCTCAATTTTTTGTCAACCAGTTAATTTAATGGTCAGTTGATTTGTTTCTCTTTTTCTCTTTACTTTCATTTGTCCGTCTTGTTTTATTGCGATTATGCTTATCACTACTATCTCTACCCTTTCTCTCTCTCTCTCTCTCTCTCTATATATATATATATATATATATATATATATATATATATATAGTTGAAGGGGTATCATTGAGATTGATTTTTAACTTATAAGCTTCATTTGTCACAGATCAATTTCAGTTGGAGGGTATTCCCACTGCAAACCAAGGAGTACTGGACAAGTCTTTCGCTCTAGTATCGATCTGTAACGAAATAAATTCAATATCTACTAAATCCCTTCAGGTGAATAATAATAGTCAGTTCATCAGTTAGTTACTTCAAGGTGTTCTCGAAGTTCTGATAAAATAGTCGTCACTAGTGCAATGTTAGGCATGTCAGGAGCGAAATGATTGTAACTAATGGCAATGGACGGTCATCGCACTATTTTAAAAATATGAATTCAATGTTTAGACATGAATATATATTGTAACTTTAGTTAGAACTATTAAAAACTTGAAAGCTCCTCCGTTCTATTGTGGAATTCTACAGCATTATGCATCTACTAACTTATGTGCTTGCTAGCCGTTAGATTTAAGAAGTCATTTTCGGAGTTCTATTGGGAGACCGTGATCAGTAAAGTTCAACCACTTTAAGCGTAAGACAGATGTCATCAACAACAATAGACAATAGTCGCATGATATCGCGAATAAACTGAAGTTATAAAGGCAGACCATGGATACTAATACAGGGGTCTGAAAAGAAAGGTTGCTGCTTAGCTTGATCCTGGGTTCAATCCCTTATGGCGTCATGGACGCACAATCTTGTAAACTCTTACTTTAGGATGAAACGGCTATTTAGTTTTTCGTATGTTTTTTACTGATTATCTAACTATACATAGTTGTTGTCACGGTTAACTAGCTTCAACGTGAATTCTTGGAGTTTCAGTGAGAATTCATAGCCTTTTAAATTAATCGTGTCGATAGTGAAACAGTTATCATCTATAGAATTCTATGATAGTCATGCTATTTGTAATAAATTAATTGACGTCAAATATTGAGATTGTTTATTCTCAATTCGTCCGTAATCACTGCCAAACCTTGGAGGCTGTTTGTTTGACCCCGTATATATATAACGATGAGCTTAAAACTAAAATGAAACAGTTTTGTGCAATGCCGTATATGATTACTAAGTATTTTGTTATTTAAGATACAATGAATCTGAGTAAATCGGAAAACGTTATATCATCTCAGTTGTTAGTCGTGAAGTACTAAGTTCCCTTTTTTCTATCGAAGTTTTCTTGCGAAAATATGGCGTTTGTGTGTGTAAAAAAATGTATGCCAGCATATATTTAATATATCAGTTGTGATGCCTTTCTTAATGTGTATTTAGTTGAGTAAAAAAAGGTGCATCACAATTCTCAATTTTCTTCATCAGTTTGCTGATTAACAATAGAAATTTACTCTCATGACATCATAACACAATATATGCTCCACAGCTGTTAACTTCGTCATGTTTGTGTGTGTGTATGTTCAGATGTTCACATGTTCACATACCTACATGTGATGATGGGGTAGGTCATTTTGACTTTCTCCTTATTTTGTAAATTATCGTGCTATAAATAAATGTATCTGTGTATGTTAGGCAATAATAAAAGGGGGAGTTTCCTCATTTATTATTAGTTGTTATGATTATCTATTATTATTATTGTTATTGTTACTTTGCTTCTTATTAATTTTTCAAAGGATGATGAACTTTTTGTGTGTGTATTCTCTTTGCATTTATCCTTTTTTCCGCGTGGTTTCTTGTACCATCCCAGGTTCTATATTGTTGTTTTTTTAATTGCTCCAGAAAATATGTATTTTGGTAAGATATGTAGGGTGAAATGAAACACTTTCTGTCTATCTAAAAGAAAGTGTCATCCATCCATCTGTTCTAGGTCACTAACTAAACTAGTGGATGGTTTTCTAGTTGTTGGTTCTTTTTTCTGTTTCACATCTACCCTACGGCGTTTCCTAATGTCTGTTAAATCTAATTATTTATTTTTTAATTTTCTTTGTTTGTCTTTTTTCGTCTACTTGTAAACTCATTGTTTTAATCCACCCTCATTCTACCTTATTCTCGCGTGTACGCACTTGTATAGACACATACATAAGCGTAAAAAGCTCCTTTTTTAGTCCACATATGTTTTTTCACGTAGTTAATGATTTTTTGTGTTCGTTTATCTGTGTATGTGTGTGTGTGCGAGATGGAGTGTTTGTATTTCATCCTTATATTTCCTGTAGTACTTATCTACAAGTTTTATGAACGGTCTAATCGTACTAGATGCAGAGATGGATGGTGGCTAGTAGCGAAGTCCAGGACTCGCGTTTCGTTCTATTTGGTACTCGTCAACTGGGTGCGTCTGCATCGTAGTTGATGTCTGCCCAGGGACTCGAACCCACTACCGTTCGCTTCAAATAATATCGCGTTATCCACTTACTGAGTCCAGATAGCCACTGACTTACTCAATGGGGTGATGTTTAATTGATTTTTGTATTGGCTGTTTTAATGTTCCCATTGGTGTTTACGATTGCAATTGATCAGTCTAATCGTACTGTATGCAGTTACCATTTCGATAACTTTTCTATTCTACAAGTAGCTTCTATATACTGGATTGCTTCACGTTCTTCGTTTTTGAAGCCACTATGCTAACATTTTCTTGTCAACCAATAACAACGAAAACCGATTAACTGTTATACACTTACATAACTCATGTAACAAATTTGTATAGCTTTGCTTCTGGTTTGTTTAAACTAATTCTATTGATTGGTTGATTATTCTATGAAGTTCATTGAAGGTGACTTGTCAGTAGTCTTTCGAAAATCATCCTTGTAAAGACAATATTTCAACTGTACTGTTTCTTTAGACACGCTGACGATACTATTCGTCTGTCCTAGATTGAAATGAATATCGCAGGGTTCTAACTTTTGACCTGTTGTTTGGATTCTCAGTACTTTATAATCACTGAGTCAGTCTTGAAAATTTCTTATGTAATGAAGCAAGATTTGACAGTTTCATCCCTTTGTGTTAATGAACTATAGAAACATAAACCTATGTACACAGGTACCGGGTTCTACATTGCGTTCTACCGGTCGATTATATGTATGTATGAAGTATTTTATGTTCATAGTTTACATCATAAACTGATCTTAGTTACACAACCATTGAAAACCAGCTGTTTCGTTCTAGTATGATGAAACTTCTACAGTCTGCATATCCGAAGCCTCACTAGAGATTAAGTCGCAAACCCTTAGATCTCACAACAAGCACGTACTTTTTGGAGCCTAGTGAGATTACATAAGTGCACTATTGTGGAGTCCCGTAATAGGGCAACCATTCTTCGCTTAATAGTTGTAAATGCCTGCCAAATAATAAGTGAAACGTTTTTAACTTACCGTTCTCAGTCTTAACTTTGTTTACACACTTGAAGGCATTTCTCCCATTGTTATTTATTATTCATTAGCAATAAAATTGTTAATTTTGCCATCCCGGCACTAATGTTAACCTTTTCTTCTATGGATAATCTATTTAACATCTGTTTTGTTTTCTCATATATATATATATATATATATATATATATATATATATATATATATATATATATATATATATGAGAGGGAGAGATTATGTTGCCTATCTGGTAAAGAGGGGGGTGTTATTGGTACTATATGTATCATTTTGTTGTTGTTCTGATCTCTCTATACGGCAATTATTTTCTTTTTTGTTTTTACAGGTTTCGAACTATGTATATTAGTGAATTTGTTGTGTTTTCTCTACTCTACCTATATATAAAATAACCTTAGCGTATTTTATGTATTTCCTTTTCTTTTTTTTTCGATAAGAATGATGATGTGGTGTTACTTTGCTCTTTATGCTCAACCAATTGTTACATTAATTCTGCTTCTATTAATTCATTTTGACCCCTTGTTTTGGAGACTCTTTGTCTGTCTTCTTTTCTCACTTAGGTTTGCTTGTTTTAATACAATAAATAGTGAAGTACGGATTAAAACCTGATTGTTTGTGTTACCTGAATCACATTCTCTATATCTATATCTTCATTGAAAACGAAAAAGGGTGTTATTTTACATAGACCATCGGTTAAACGCTACTATCAATGTGGTTACATCTAATGGTCCTTATTCATATATATATATATATATATATATATATATATATATATATATATATATATATATATATATATATAGATAGATAGATAGATAGATAGATAGATAGTAGGAAAAAGTTTTCTCTCGCTGTAAGCTGAACTCTCTGTCTCTTGTTTATAATAAGGAATGATGTTAAAATTTCACTAACTAACTGATAATGTATGACAATTTATTCTTCATATGTTTTGATAATAAATTTTTCACGCTCTGTTGGCATTGAATATTCTATGGGTATTAGGTCTTCTCTGTAGTTTCACAGGTGTTCATATTGAAATTTTTTTATGTAATTAGTGAGCTCACTAGTGACTTATTTCGAGAGAGAATTGCTGAAATTCTTATGAGAAGCTGTGACTGGTGGAATCTGGTTTTGTTGGATATCCATCAGTGTTATTGAAAAATGGTTGCCGATATCGCTAATCGATTAGAATTATAAATGAAAACGATTATATGCTGACTCAGTGATTCGAAGTTTAGGTGCTTTCTGCAAGATCCAATGATCTTGGGTTCAATTCCCCTTTAGCGTCTCAAATGTACACTGGTAAGGAATTCTAGAATACGATGAAACAGCTGTCCAGTACTTCTTCGTTTTTAATAGTTATCTAATTAAAATCAGTCTGCCATGTAATCTATAATACTCAACAATCACCACAAACCTCTTGCAGAAATAACTCATTAACTACTAGATCAAAAGTCTGAATCTCACTTTAAACAATTTGGTTCTACTAAAAAATCATATTGTTTCTATGTGTATTTAAAAATATCGCTTTGAAAGTTATTTCCCGATATAACAGTTCATCTGATTTAGAATTTTGTTTTCTTTGTTCGCACATGGGAAATTTATTTCCGCATTTCGTAAATTCCCAGTTTTTTTTAATAAGTCCATTTGAAATTAAGTTTGCTTGATCATAAAAAATTAACTTCACATTTAATCTGTGTGAGTTTGATGACTTTACATGTTCAACTGTTTTTTTTTGTAATCTCAGATTGTTTGCATACAGTAAAAACACTCTGTAGATCATGTTAAATAGACACTAGTGTATGTTTAGCATTATGAAAAACTTTTTCCAATCAATAAAGTTATTTCTTAGTTCTAGTTTCAAGTACTTCAGTCCAGTTTTCTGTTTGATCTCTGCCTAAATACTGAATGTGACTGAAGTGTAAACGCGACGTCTCTCATGGCTCATAATCAGTCACGCTTGCACAGACGTATTTACTCCTTTTCCTTCTTCTAGATTTTGAGTCCTAGTAATCCTTCATGTCTGTAATTTCATTTCATCCTTTTAAACCATAGCCTCAATCTGTAATCATTCTTTTTTGTTACTACATTAATTCAACTACTTTGCTACTCATCTTGTTAATTTGACCCTGTCTTACTAATGTGATATTATGATGTGTGCTACTGATGTCGACAGACATAAGTAGCATGTATCACCGATCAAAAGTGGAATGTCTGGCGACAGAAGGTTGAGGAAATCTAAGGGAAGAGAACGAAAACAGAGAGTGATTGGTATGGAAACGAAGGAACAACAAAGTTTGAGAAAATTGATGGATGTTTTGCAGATGAAGTATTACTGCATGGTTCTCAGATTTTACTAAGAGATTCCGTAATTCTGTGTTCACATAAATTTGGTTGTCCCCACTGGTATTCTCGTTCATTACAATCTGATAAATTGAGTTAAGTCGTATTTTATTATGGCAGACTAACAGTTTACACAACAATTTATCTTGAAACTGATGTTTCAATTAATTTAGCAACTACATTGGTTTGTCACTGTATCTTGGCTGAAGTAGTCCCAAATTTCATATTACCCAATGATTTAAAGTATTTTTAACGATAACTAAAAATTGAATTGTTTAATGACTACTTTTTGTGAGATTTCTGTTGTTTTTATTTTAAGCAAACATTTAAAGTTACTTATGATATAGTGGCCGGTTGGTTAAAGGCATTCGATTTCCAGCCATTAAGCCACAGATTGAAACCCGGATTTAGCTTATTTTGTTCGGCCAGTCGGTTAAGTATATCACTAATCCTTATACAGCCAAAATGTAGCTTGAAGCTAAGCACTCGATTATGTACCTGGTGTTTCCTCATTTTGTGTGAACACAAAAGTATTGATACAAATGGGCATCAAGATAAATATGCAACACATAAATAAGTATATGATATTGTGAAAATATATATGAAGGATAGTAAATACAGTCGAGAAATAACTGATGAACACGAGTAATAGTTTTTTTTAAAGTACAACCTGAAAAAACCTTTCAGCTAGAGAAATTCCTCTCACTTTTACAAAGAAAGTATTTAAAAAATTTACATTAGGACCACCATTGGTTTTCATTCTGAGCCATATGGTATAATGTCTCAATCCACTGAGTTGCACTATCTCTAGGACTCCAATCAAGGAGTCTTGAAGGGCAGACAAATGCCATTCGTGTTCAGCTTTGTTTCATACCATGGCATAGTGTCATAAACTGACATTTTTTCGATTTTTCTAACTAGTCTCAGTGTTGGCAAACACAGTATAATGTGAAAGTTTCTAGAATGACGTTCATAGCACATGTCCAAGCCGTTGAAGTTACTTTTTCAAAATGATTATGCCAATCGGACTATCATCACTGTTCCAAAACACACATTACTAAAACTCCTCATTACTACACATAGTGTTGTCACTGGATGTCAATGATTCGTCTGAGACAATGATGATCGAATACGTAGTAAATAAGAAACTAAATTTATTACTAATACAACATCATAAACATTTCTTGTCTGATAATAACTAGTACACAGTTAAATTCATGAGTCGATGTAAGATAGACTACCACTGAAAACCTGGAAGCACTGGACGACCGTTTCGTCCTAATATGGACCTATTCAGCCGTATGCATCCATGGTCCTACACGCGAGACTCGAACCCAGGACCTTGGGTCATGTACGCGAACGCTTGACATATAGACCATTGATCCGATTAAATACCTAATAAATAAGGAACTAGGTTTATCATTTGCACGACATCATAATCATTTCTTGCTTGATAATAATTAATACAATATAGTTTAATTTGATCTTTATGCACTTTTGTTTCCATGTTTACAGTTTCAATAATTGTTGCCTCACGAATTGAATTGGAAACCGTCAAATCAATCAGTTATTCTCCATAATAATAATAATAATAATAATAATAATTCAGATAGATATTATGATCTTTTGTATACACTTGTTCTTTTGTAATAAAAAAAACGAAACATTTGTATAATCTAACCATGATTTCGAAATTGTTATCATCATTACATTTCTTGCATCACTGTATAAAATAGTCCTGTTGTGGATGCGGAGGAATATATATATATATACATATATATAATCAACACTGTTTATTATATGTTGTTATATTATTACAAGAAGAATATAAAAACTATATAAGCGTATAAACAAACCATTTATGATATGTTATGTATATTCATTTTGAAAGAAATACAGAAACTTTCTTACTTGTTCAACTGATATATTATCATTTTTATATTTGTGTGTTGTTTTCTATGCATCATTGGGTTTTATTATTCGGGATTTTCATTATAGTTAAAGTTTAGTAGATATATATATATTTATGAATATGAATAGTCATAATTACTTAAATTAGTTACATTAAAACAAACAAAATGAAATAGATAATTGTTAGTTATTTTAAATTATACAACTTTTATCAACCTTCAATCTACATATTTATTTATTCAGCTTTGTTTATATGAAATTTAATTATACTTAGTTGTTCAAGCTGAATTAAGATCAAATCTGTAATTTATTGGTTAAAAATCGTATACTTTTATCATTAAGTTATGTTTTGATCGTGGATTAGTTGAAGTTAGACATTAACACCATTGGATGCCGGCTCAATGGTTTAAAGGTTAAGTGTTCGTGCGTGAGAAACTGATAGGTTCTGGGTTCTAATCTTGTGGAGTGAGATCGTCGATGCGCATTGCTGAGGAGTCTCATACTAAGATGAAACGGTCGTCCAGTGTTTCCATGGTGGTCTAGCTTCAATTGACTCATAAAACTAGTTATTAAAATTAGTTTTGGGATTATAGTTGATGTTAGTTCGTGTTGAAAACCTTAAATTTAATTCTTAATATTAATAATCAACTGTAAAACATAATTCTAATTCCCTACACTGGTTCATAAACCTTATTTGGTCCTAGTTATCAGGTGAACACTCAAGATCACTTTAGCGTCACTCAAAGGTCATCCATAAATTATAGTCTCAGCGATAATTCGTAGGTTGCTAGTACTTGATTGTAGATACTTTCGGATCATTTCTCATATATTTTGGGACCGTTGAGGTTGGACGTAGGGTGCAAGGTAGAGATGTCAATTCGATCGAAGTGTTTGAGATATGTTCACCGATAAGCAACCGCCTTCTATTTCGATGCGCGTGACGGCAGTCCATGAAGCCATTGACTGTTGGATTGAACTTTGTTAATAGGTCTAGTCAACTTAGTTGGGGTCCTCGCGATTATCATGTTCAGACGGGTGATATGGCTTTTCGAGTACCATTCATGCAAACTAAATTGGGACTCATTACAATTTGAACTCTAAATTCGTCTAACACCAGATGATAATTAATTTTCTCTGATTATGAAAGGAAAATTGCTCATTATTCGTTTTGATATAGCTTTGTTGAACCTTTGAAATTGTCTGTTTCATGGAGGATTTCATGTGGATGATTGATAGGGATTCGTGTTATTTAAATAGGGTTTACATAACTATATCTGTTGGGTTTTGTGGATGCGTACTACTGTAAAGTCAGTTTTATACTTGAACGAAATATCTCTAGTACATCCTCGTTTTCAGTGTCTAAGATCAGCTCTTAATTTAAATTATGTAATCCAACAATCTCCACAAACATTTTACAGTAATAGTAAACATGCTCACTAAGGACTGATTTCGAGAGGTAATTCCTGCAGTTTTTAGAAGCTGCAATTAATGAAGTTCAACTATATTGAGAGACCGTTACCCATCGCACAGTATTACTAATTGATCTAAGTTACGAATGTAGACCATTGGATGCCGACTCATTGGCCAAGGGTTAAGCACCCACCTTTAGACCTGTATATCCTAGGTTCAACCCCTATTGAGGTCACATATGCGTACCCATGAGGAGCTTCATTTTGGAGCAATACAAGTGTCCAGGGCTTCCTTTTTTCCAGTGGTTGTCTAATTTAGATTTATTTATGATGGCCGTAAAATGTAACAATCTCCAAACACCAATCACATTTCTAATATTCTTTTATATTTAACTTGGTTGATTCTCCAAAAGAGTTTTTACAGATAGTTTCGTTATATAGTTCCTTTTTTGGACACTTACGGACAACAACCAACCGAATTCTAGATCAACAGAGCAAATAGCTAGTCAACTGTAGAGTAATTGTAATCAGTCATTTGTTATTGAAGTGTGTTGATGGTGTTGCTGAAAAAGACACTGAATGCTTCACAATTAAACCACCCAGCTCAGAGAACAAAGCACCCTCAAAATTTAGAACGTGTTTGCATCACAATTTAACTTCAGTTAAACAATTGTTGAAGATAGGAGGATAATAGTTATCTGTTTTGTCCTAGTTTGGGATTTATTGAGAGTTCGCATACATTGCTCTGTATGGGTTGCGAACCCAGGACCATCATGTCTATAGGCTGGCATAGTATAAATCATTCTCTGTGTCAAAGTCCAGTAATCATTCCCAGCTAATTCAATGCACGGTGCAGCTGAACTATTTTTTAATATCAGAAGTGATTGATCTATATTGAAGATAGTTACTTGTAAACGTCGAAATGCCCGAAGCTTTATAGTTTGATCCCATGGATGCATATCATTGAGGAATATTAAACTGGAACTAGACAGTAGTACAATGATCCTCAGTTTTTATTGGTGTTTTCTGATTACTATCATCAACTTATCAACCAACTACAAATACTTGAGACTGAGCCACATTCCAAGTGTGAAGACTAGTGATGTTATTCGGTTGCCAAAACCAAAATTTGCAGAACAGGACTTTAGCCCTTAATCTAACGACCGAACACTCTAACCATCATATCACTGCTAGTTAATATACATTCATCAAATAAAATTTTATTTACATTATTTTGTTCATTTGTCTTTCTCATTCTATATATAGACTTATAAGTTGGCTGAATTCTTCCCTGGTAATTTAATCTGAATAATGTTTATTTAGAATATTTCCGTAATCTAATTTTTTAGGGGTGTTTTTTTTTTTGTTGTTGTTATCCGGTAAATCTTTCTCATCACAAAGGTACACAAATTATTTGAAGCTGATACGTTATATTGACTAACTAAATATTTCACAGAATAACAATGTCACATAGACGTGAATCAATAATATCAGTACAATTTTCCAATATCACTATGAGTTTAATATTATTCGAGTTAATATTATCCTTATTAATTCTTTTCCCTTCTCTCTATACTTTTATAAAAGTATAGACAAATAAAAGAGAAAAAAAACCCTCATCAATATTCATTAACTTGATATACTATTCTAACCCTAAACTCTAATCTACTTACGTCAATATCCTTTTGTAGAATGAATTTTCTGATTACACGTAATTGTCATTCCACTTGAAAATTCAATATCCCTTTTCAGCAACAAAAAAATAATAAAAAAAATAAAATAAAATTCATTCTTTAATAAACATTCCGTTATTGTTGTTGTTGTTGTGTTTAACTTTTTTAGATTAGCCATTTACCATTTCCGATTAATTTATTCTCTCTCTTTCCTGTAATTTAATGTCACGCTATGAGATCAGAGATTTCTTAACACTGTGCTTATTGCCTCAATGCGTGCATACCCGGATGCACTTGGATATATATATATATATATGCACACATACAAACACTTCAGCTGTAATGTTGGCAATTTCTATCATATTATCTATAACCTGTTGTATGAATTCTATATAGATATATAGATATCAACAATCAGGCATAAAGATTATGTTAATTTTTCTTCATTCAATGATATAAACTAATTTCACAGAGACCTATTAATTCTTTATGTTTGCTTTGATTCGAAGTGAAATACAAAACATTGAGTGAGTGAATAAGGGAGTAAGTGAGTAAATAAGGAAGAGAAAATTAAAAAAAGTGGATTTATTATTATTATCATTATTATTCAAAAGATTCTTATTGCGTGACATTCTTAATAGAGTAGAATATCATCAGTATGTATGTGTAATATGTATAATACTAAATAGATTTATTGAATACAAAACAACAATATTTATATTTGTGATTAATTACATTTTATATTTGATAAGAATCATGTTTATTATTATTATTATTGTTTACTAATTATAGTTAATATTTGTGTACATATTCTTGAAGGATTACTGATGTATTACGTAAGATTGGAAATAAGAATAATATTTAAGTAATTTATTAACTAGTATTGATGAGGAATTCCATATTACGATGAAATGGTTGTTCAATGTTTCTAGGTTTTTAATGGTAGTCTAGATTAGATCGACTCATGAATTCAATTTTAAACATACTTCAAACCCCTATACTGACTTTAAATTTGGATATAAGATGGTAGTTAGAAGTAGTCAACAGGGAACCATAGACTTAGGTTTTGTGCTACTTGGCACTCGTGAGTAAGGTGTACCTGTAATCTTGAGGGAACTGATACTCCCTGACGGATTCGATCCCGTGTCACGCAGCTTCATAGTCAGAGACCTTAGTACTGAGCTGTCCAGGCCGCGATTGATTTCCTGTATAACTGAGATATATTCACAATTGATTGATCACTGGGTAGTGATCATTGTCATGTATATCAGGTCCTTCTTAGTTCAGGTCCAGGGTTTTCTGTTGATTACCTCCAACCAACTAAGAAGGACCTGATATACATGAAATTGATCATCACCCAGTGATCAGTCAATCGTAAATTTGTATATGTTTTCCTTTAGATTCATCAAGGACGTTCATATTCATCTCTTAAATATCAGCTTTTATTAGTTTAGTAAAATTTTATTATTTTTCTATAACAATGAAAATTTAAATATATTAGATAGTTGAAATCAATACCATAGAAAGCCATTGATCTAACAAGTACAATTCTATGTAATCGAATTTGAGCCACATTAATAATACTATGCAAGAATATAAACCAAAGTAGGTCGAGTATAGTCAGAAATTGCGAATCATGTACTTAAATCAATAAATTGTCATTTTACAGGAAGCCCTGAGTCTGGATATAATGTATATTGTTCCTGATGTTCTATGTAGGATTTGAGTCTGTATAAGTATCACAGTCTTAGAGGATTTCAGTCGCGACAAGGATAGTTCAGTAGTAATGTCTTTCATTGTAATACTTGGTCGGTAGCTGTTAGGGTGATACAAAATATTAGCCAGGACATACTATTCATGACATTACACTAGATACCGAGTTGTGTACCTTAAGACGACATTTTATTACATTAGCATCTTGCAACTTAGATATGTTTTCATGTTGAT